TTGTGGTACAACGATGTGTTACTGTACAGCGTATAGACAGCTAGATGTTTAAATTCATTAAATTCTCGAGTGAACCATATTAATGAAGCTGGAACAGCCAAACAGAGGGCGTTATTTTCTGGTCGCCAATAAATACCGAGAAAATGAATACAGTATAATGCAGCAACTGCAGTCAGATTTCAGTGTGTTGTGCCTGAGATTCCAGTACGGCGCCTAAGCGGTTATCTGCGTACGTGTTCTATGATGATCACTATTAATAATGCTTTGGCTATACAAACAAGATTGGCTTTTCGTTGTACTGCCTTTATTCGTTTGTCAAAACTTGAGCAGGGATGTTGATATTATTGCACAGACTAAACAGCAGAAAAGAAAAGCACAGACACAATGCATACACAGCAGCACCGCTGACCAATCAGACTAACCGGAATAACCCTTAACCCCAGTCGCCGGACCAGGTGCAGCAAGCGGGGAAAACATGGCAGGGGCAGCGGACGGGGCGCGCGTGGGGCGCCGTCCCGGCCATGTCGTTGGCCCGGCGCAGACGCGCCAACGCCGTCGGCAGGAAGGAGCCCAGGGCGGCTGGCTCCCGGTGGCCGCTCCATTGGGCCGTCGCCGGAGGGTTGACCGCCATGATGACCAGCAGAAACACGGCAAGACCGGCGAATGAGCGCTGCATAGTGCTGGTTATTGTTACAGAGGAATCAGAGTACTGCAACGGGGATCTGGAGTACGTAACTGGATCGAAACCGCTGATCGAACTAAATTACCAGTACTTATACGTACGCATATTATCATAAGAATATTACTTATCTGAAAGCGTTTCCTTTTGCCTGACTACAGCTGGCATCAGTTATGCGTTGCCGGGCAGCCAAAAAGCACAGGCGCATTTCTGGAAAATGCACGTGTTTTTTGTACTTAATTTTTTACTAGGATACTACCACAGAGACTGGTTATACAGAGGCTGGTGTATATTATCACGTATTATCACCAGTCTCTATTACTACTTATTATTACTTCTGTATTACCAGTCTCTGTGATACTACCGTAGTCACACGAGACTCCTATTTGACCACGGACTTTTGTATAGGCAAAAAGTTTCAAATTAAACAGTCGAGAATAATTATCAGCGTATTTTAGCGATAAACATCAGCGTATAATAAATATGTTTTTTCGAATGATAACATTTTTCACAGTCAGCCCCTTAATCCCACCGCGGTTGGTGGCAGCCACGTAAGCGACAAAATTTGTACCTGTGTCCGCAGAAACGTTTTTTTGCCAATTCGTCAGCGCTGAGTTCAAATATTCTGAATTCAAATATTCTGCTCAAATTAATTATCTGTATAAAAGATTTTTCTTTGGTAATTTTGAAAAAGTGCTACATAGAATAAAATTAATAGATTATTATTACTGTACAGTGAAACCTCTGAAATACGTACACCTCCGTACGGAAAATTTCGTACGTAATTCAGGGGTGTACGGAATTCAAATTAGCTGCCCCCAGCCCCCTGGGGGGTGACTGTAGACGAGGGGCACCGCCCCACTACGAAATGGTCTGCACATACTGTGTTATACATAAAATACACAGATTTCATTAGTTAACATACAAAACTACATCAATCTGTGTGTATGTAAACAGACGAAAACAATTCTCTCGCAAACTTTCAGCAAAAGAGTCCTTAAATCCTTACTCAGGATACAAAAATCTAGCAATTTCGTGTATAGTTTTCTTTCCTTCTGTGGATTTTCACAAATTTACCATCAAAAAGTATAAAATCTTCAGTTCCGAAACAACGGTGTACGAATTCACGAGGTGATTGCGTACAGTGAAATGCTTATGCGGTACAGAGATTAAGTGTACGTGTACGCAACGCTGAGGTGTACATTACGTAGAGGTTCCCCCCTGTACTTTAGTCTACGACGTAATTCGGTACAGAATTTTTCGTACGTAATAGAGGGGTGTATGTTTCTTCGGGGTGTACTATAACAGAGGCAGCCATAAGTCGGCTGTCCGTGATGATCTCAGCGAGGGAGGGCGGTCAGAGATCCTGTCTGTTGAGGAAATTCCGAAAAATGGCGATGGAGCGGGAATCGAACCGCTGGCTACCGAGTGAGATCCACGTAGCACAGCCACTGTGCCATCGCCGCTGTTGGCGAAGATCAAGATATTTGTGCTTGAGCTTGAGCCAACCAGGTAGGCGGCGGATGGGCGGCTGCTGTGTACACAGAGGATTCTCCTCTTACAGTACGTACGATGAGGTTTCACTGTACTCGTAATACGTACAATTCAGAGCTGAGGTGACGCAGTGCACACTCATCATAGGACTGATTAATATTAAAGCGGATGAATGTTGTCTAAGCGGTTCACCATGTGTGGCTACCTGTTCTGACCAGCTTACCATGATCACAGCATGACTAGACAGTAGACACATTATCGGAAGCTGTCCATTCTATTTCTAAACCTGATTTTAGTTTTGTTTCTTCTTCCGTTCGTACGGGTCGCGCTCTAATAAATTAGCCCTGCGATCTGGCTGCACAGTAAACTGGTGTTTCTCGATTCTGGTAATCGTAATCATAGCTGGTTGGTGACCTCGCATCCTTTTCCAACCTGTACAGTCGTAAGTTCCCTCGAAGCGCGAAGTTCGCAATTCCAATTAAGATGCTTTAAGAGCATTGTTTTAATATTAGCAGATGGCATCAGCCATTTCTCACTAACAAACAACCCGGAAGGCGGAAGCATTAAAAATTTATTGGAGATACGGCCACAAAAATCAGCCAAGTGACATGAGCGGAGTTCGTAGCTGTGTTGGAGATCCCAGAAAAATCGTGAAAATGCCCAGACCAGGAATACTAAGATGCAGCGAACAGGAAGGAGAGCAGAATGCAATGCGTAAGCCCGCCCTGAAAATATTTGTTTGCACTTGTGCGAAGACCGAAGGCGAAGGTGGAAGAGAGTTCGCTTCCAGCAGAATACATAGGTGCGGAGGCGCTCTTTGCACTCGGTTTTAGCCTTCTACCAACACCTCCACTGCGCACCCGGACAATTGGGTGCGCTTGTGTGACATTTTGTCGCACTCAAATTCCACGTGCACCTTTTTGCCGCGGAAAAAATGGGCGCTTGGACATTTTGATTTGGGACATGTTGCTTTGAGACATTTCACCTTTGTGACGTTTTGACGCAAGACGTATGGTGGCGGTCGATTTCACCGCAAACGAAGTCGCTACGGCTAGTGTTCACACGTTTTTCAGATTTTCTTATCTGTTCCTGTTTTTTTGTTTTTGTTTCTCTAAGCTTACTGAAGTTTTCTTAAGTTTTTCAAGGTTCTGATGACTTTTTCTAGGGTTTTAGCTTTATTTCTTTTTCTTGGTGTTTTACATGTCACCTATCTGTATCGCACAAACAGTTTAATAGATTTACAGTACTTCTTTTCTCCAATCGCCTCGAGACGAAGTATCTCGACATCGAAACGACTCCGCGACGAAATGTCTCGAGGCATAGTATCCTGCCGACTAAATGTTCCGCGACGAAATATCGCGGTGCTCCTCTCATTGAAAATCTGGTTGATCGTATATGCAACAGCAGGAAAACGAAATGGTATCGAAACCCGGCTACGACGAAAGATCCGCGGTGGCATAAGTACCACTGCACCACGGAGAAAAGTACTAATTAATAAAAATCGCTGAAAAACTGCCGCTCCACGTAAGCCGCTTCTCTCCTCACAGGCAGATAGAAAAATGATTTTTTTACTGATTGCTGTACTATGGCCACAGATCTACGTACCGTGGAAATTCACTTTAATCGACCCCACCTTGATCGTTTTTGCTGCGAACATGATGTATGATTAACAATAATTATTATCAACAGAACTGCAACTCAGACTGGAATATTCAAGGATGATACTGATAAAATTCTCCGGGCAGAAATTTGGCCCTCCAACGTTTTCGTGCAAGAATAAGTGTATTAATTCATCTTGTTGACTATTAACTTGTGATTTCTTGCTTTTCATGTTCACATGCTGTTGACGTGTGGGAGCTACACACATCCGTACGTACATCTGTTTACCTATAATTACTGTACGCCTTCTCCTACGTCACTGCGGTTGTTCATTTACTCTAATCTGTAATTCGCCTGTTCTAGTGCTCCTTGTAAACGGGCATCGGTCTTAGTCATTTGAGACCGGCTACTTGCTTTTAACTTTCCTGTTATTGTGAATGTGACTGAGAGTTAATAAGATTCTGCATTTTCCACGTCTGCTTGATGTACATAGTCAGAATACGGGTTATGGCAAAGGTAAACACGGTATGCACGTGTTTTACTTGACCCGCACATCTACGAAGAAGTTTTGTGAGTAGCTGTCCTTCACTGTGGCAGCTGCTCTTGTACGTTAGTCTGCAACCTGATGCAGGTTTTCAACTTATTGTGGTAGATGTTAAGCTGAGTAAACAAACCCACCAAACAAATGTGGATGGATAATGCACCAGTTAATTATTATGAATTTTGGGCACATTACTGCAGGTATTTTAAAGACGGTGCAGGAGTGATTGTGAGACACGGAATCTTACGCATCTGTAACCGTCCTAAACGTCCGGACATTTTGGGCGGTCGTACTGAATACAAGAAAATAATTCCAAGATTTCCAAGACTGGTTCCCGAATTTATATAAATTACACGGGCAAACATGAAAATAAAAATTACGTTAAAAATTAGCTGCCGGTAGTAATACAGAAGGTTTTCGTAAGTAAAAATTAATATCATTAGTAAAGTGCTCACGTACTTATAACTAAAGCCACGCTCATATCGAACGCTTTCATAAGATATTAAAAGGCGGCGCGTCTGACACGCGTGCCGTAACATAAAGAAGAATATGTAACATAAAGAAGAATACTTCTATGTATGCAAACATTAACATTCTGCAATTTCATTTACGTAAAAGCTGATTCTACCGTGGCGCGGGCCCGCAACTTCCATACTGATATCTTTTGTCATCGTCTCTAGGGAACTGCTAGAGCTGTGACACGGCAGAAAACGTAACGGCTTCCCTGGTTCGTGCTCGTCGTCCGCTGGATGTCTTGACGCGTGCCACGTTGCGCCTTTCGCAATGCAAATGCACCGGTTCGCTGGAGCCACATACCAATCGCCAGATTGTGACGCCGCCATAGATTGCAAAAGACAACGCCGCATCACCATGACGAAACACGTCAGTCTTAGGCTGGAGTTCCCATATATAGGCGACAGGCAGCGCGAACCAGCACGCCGGCTGACTACTCCCGATATACAGGTAGTGCCAGAAAAATTCCGGCCCGTTGCCGATCCAGTACAGCACGGTAGTGATGAGCAAAGCGGCTGTAGCGGACACGACGACGGTGGGACGGGGCGGCTGCGGGACGGCAGGGTGGCGGGCTGTACGATGGCGTCGCGATGTGCATGTGCACTTCCACAGGTAGATGACGGTAAGGATGCAGCAGGTCGTTATGATGGCGGCACTACCCAGATGGTGACCAATCTGCAAGCCAGCCCACGGTGTGGAAATACGCAGGGTGATTGCTTATAATAATTATCTCGTACTAGTCAGTTGCCATCGCTGACAGATCGCTCACCTTGCTGGCCGACCATCGAGGTATTACGGCTAGCAAACAAATGATAAACTTAATATTTGTATACCCTTTACGAACTATGACTAGTTATCATCTAAATGATCGCTGATTGTGCCTGTGCAGTGCAACCTTGTCATCTGCTCTTTATGGGGTCGGCCTACTTTACCTTTGCCACCCCTTTGCCTTTGCCTTTCCACTTTACCTTACTCAAGATTACCTTTACCTTTGCCTTTGCGGCCGTGAATATCTTTACCGTCCCAATTTACCGTTGAAAAACTCCGTTGAAAAACCTTTACCGTTGATTAACCGTTTAAAAGTAAATACCGTCGACACTTTGCCGTTCCTGCAATTTCTTGCTTATGTACAGTATCTTGAAATTATTTGTGACCATCATTAATTATGTTTACACTAACTTTTTCAACCACCTCGCACCACCGAACCACTGTTTGGCTTTGCTCACCACTTCCAGACACCTCCTATCACGAATTTCAATTCTATTTTTGACTATGCCACTGCCTGTGAACACCGATTTTGGCTATTCGCACCGGTTTTTCTCACACATTTTTGATTTTATCAGTTTCTGCTCCATCATCATCATTCTTATCATCGGTCTGGCTCATCTTAAAACTGCTGACGGTAACGGGAAATGTTAACGGTATTGTTTCCGCAGGTCTTGATCAACGCTCATTGTAATCTTCCGCTCAAAACAGCTGTTCGTGGCGACTTAATCGTCACGCTTTTATGTGCCTGCATGGCAGACCATATACGTAGATCTGTATGTACAACCATCTAAACAATTGTACTGAATTTAGTATATAAACTACAGAAAAAGTTGGTGACCATAGCCAAACGGTGGTGCGAGGTGGTCGCAAAAGCCACACACAGTTATTAATGGTCTCAAAATAATTTCAAAATTCATAAGCAAGAAACTGTAGAAACGGCAAAGTGTCGACGGCAATTTATATTTAAACGGTTAATTAACGGTAAAGGTTTTTTGAACGGCTTTCTTCAACGGTAAATTGTAACGGTAAAGGTATTCACGGCGGCAAAGGCAAAGGTAAAGGTAAACTTGATAAAGGCAAAGTGAAAAGGCAAAGGGGCGGCAAAGGTAAAGTAGGCCGACCCTCTTTATGTAAGAAATACAGCTCAGGACTAAAAAGACGCATAAACCCCATACCCAGATATCCGCACGCATGTGGCAAGTGCACTTGTACGACAACCGTGCCCTGCGCCGCATGCGTTCGGAATGCTGTAGGTGGGGTTATCCGTCTTTTTAGTCCTAAGCTCTAGCTAGCTGATCCCTTATGTAGGAAATTACGGGACAGGCTTGTACGTTCTGGTGTACTGGTGTACGTTGTACACCAGTGTGTGGGATACATTTCTCTTCTTTTTCAGGGACTTCGACTATCGTTACCAACATTTATCCGCTAACGGGCGGGTTTCTTGATGACAACCTGCTGATCACCTAGCATCTTACCTTTTCTTTCGTACATATACCAAAGAATTACTCTTCAGGATCTGCAAGTGGCAACTTAGAGCAGATTAAGTGACGGGTCGGCATACCTTCGAATGGCCAGGTTTGGACTGTTTTGGTCTGGAATAAATTTTCTTCCGGTTTCTTGGATGTAGCATGTTACGCATAGCGTAAAGTAGTCTTTTCAATGTACTTGAGAATTTTTTAATTGTTTGAACCGTTCTTTGGCTATTTACGCTTAAAAAAACCAGTGACGAAAAACTTAAGCCACGCTACGCGAGACACCAAACTATGTCAAACCTTTGTCTATCACTACTCTACATGTGCGGCTCCGCCGAAGTGACCGAACATTCAAATTTGCTTTATCTGTATGTTGTAAGTCGTTTCTGTGTGTATTGATTGCGTTTAACTGTGCTGAGAACTGTGTACGCAAGAGGTAAGAGCAAATGGATAAAGTATTGGTTGCCACCGCACATGCGAGGTGGTTCCTGCACCAAGCAGGACATCGATTGTGCGGCTTATTTGTGCCGAATAACGAAACTGCCGGTCAGCCAGCAGTGTGAATAAACAGTTTGTCTGATAGCGAAAGTCAGGAAATTGACGTGCTATCATTACGTCATATTATCGCTTACCAGGATCCAAGCGTTAACGGTCCTCCAGTTGGCAACAGCTGTGGAGGAAATTCCAGAAGCGGAGGCTCGATATCGCTCAACCAGTATCACGCTCGGTGGCACACCGACGCGATGCGAAGCATGGAATCCATGAGCTGGAATTATGCACCTCCTGGAAGCGGGAAGGTTTGAAGACCGCATAAAAGCGGTCAATGGCATAACCCGCCAGAATGCTGCAATGTGCAGCCATTTAACTGTCAGCTCACTGCAACACTTAGAAATTAATCATAAACTACTTTATCCACTACTTTCTGTTGCTCTGTTAAATCATTCGGCTTTGCTACCGAGAAACTAAGCCGCACGATATGCATACCCCTGGCTTAACTGCAGAAGGACGGTGTCAAAAAAGATCAGAATGGCACCATGCAGCTTTAATGGATGGTCGGCATGCAGACAGTTGCACACTGGTGCCAGCCGGTCTGACGTCAGCATCAGCAAAAACCGGTTCACTCTGCACAGAGGAAAGTTTTTTTATGGCATTGTTGGATGGTAACGATGGAAGCTGAGCGAAACTTACAAATACAGCCAGCGAATGGACAGATAAACCGTCAGAAAACTATCCGGCCCATCTGCAGTTATTCGGCGTCCGACCAAGAACCACTGTGCAATATTGACGCAAATCTTACGCAGCCTCCTGGAGTGCATGCCTATCGCAATGCCATTGCCTAATATTCCCATGACGAAAAGCGGAAGAAAGGTGACGGTTGTCAGATAGTCCATAGATTCGTGGCACATTAGTAAGCGCCAGAGCGCAACACTGACATTCTGCACTGGATTCCCACAAGCGTCCGTTACGTTCGCCATTTAATCGGGAATAATTGCACATCTGATAGAAGAAAACAACCCGCGCGTGGTAACCTTCCGCAATCTTTGATTTTCAAAAGCAATTGATTCGTGGATGGTCTGAGATGATAGATGAGAATACAGATACCTAATAAGACACAACTAACCGGTGTACAAGCTTGTTCCGTAATTTCAATCGCATCGATCTGTACACAGCGACCATTGACAAATACAAAGTCACGCGTAACGCGAGACTTTGTGCTGCGGCGCGCCACGCCGCACTGTGCATGGTCAGCCTGGATACATGCCAAACATCGTCGGAATTATGAATAATCGAAATAAATTATAAATCACTGCTTTTTCTACTTAAAAACTATCTTAGATACTCGTAATGAGAATAAATTTGTCATAAGGGTAGACGTAGTGTAGTGGCTACCATTCACAGCGCAAACCTCGCTTTAAATACGTTCTGTTTGTCTGTACCTTCACGTGCGTAATTACGTGACAGGCTTGTACACTTCTAAAGGTTTTTCGACGACTAATAAGTCGGCAACGGCGTTGTACAGATCCTGTTATGCGGAGCAGCGCCAATATCAGGCTCTGCGTTCAAGTAAATGATTTTGCATGCCATAATATTATATCAATTTTCTCAGTTAATACGAGAAGAGGGTTAGCAGCTGTTAATCCTGCAATTAGCCTGCAGTAAATCCACATTTGTACTACTAACCACCAGTTGTCCATCCGCTGGCGCTGAGAAATAGATGGCTAAGAGAGCGTTAAATATACGGAAGCGCTAGCAATAATATTATATTTAATCAAGTGCATCAAATTCTTCAGATAATCAATAAGTCCGCTCAATGATTCAACCAGGTGCAATTACTGCAGAATGAGACAGTATGATAGTGTATGCGTCGTAAATATGTCTGTTGTCTGATCCTCGTATACCGCGCGCCGATCGATCCTCCGCGTTTAATTGCAGTATTGCGGAAGCGCAGCTCGTTGCAAACAACCGGCTAATAAGAGCAATATAATGCGTAATTACAACCGAACTTTGTGTGCCAGCATATATGCAACCAGGAACAACACAGCCAGAATATACATGGGCGTGTACAGCGGACAACCTGTCATGGCGCACAGAAACGAAGGAGTATGTGGAGGTGCTGTCCACTGCTGTACACCCCTTGCGTTTTATCATTGACATTTGCTCGGTGGAAAATATTATCAGTTTCACAAATTGCCGCAGTTTGCTAACATTTTTTAAACTGAATACTTGATTTTGAGATAATGAAAAATAGCGCGGCTTTACGACGACGCTTGGCCTACTACTGTACTTGGCCTGTCTACTGTACTGTACTGTACTGTAGTATAGATTTAATTGGTTCGTTTCGTTCATAACGGTTTCTGAGGTGTTAAACAGGATTAAATTGAATGAAACTGGGGAGCTATTAATTGGTAGCCATTGTGGAGTACTCGGAGAGAGGTTTCGTCGCTACTACTACAGATATACAGTCAAGTAAAACGTTGGCCTGGAAACTTTTCATTCGTTTGGTATTTGATGGGCGTTCAGAACCGCAGTCGACCTATGCCCAAATACATACATCGACCTACACAGGCGACTTATTCAGTTTTCCTCAGTAAACCGTAGTAGCGATAAACCGATAATAATTTTTCACTCGCTATCTCTACGTATTGCACCGGAAAACCAAAGGAACACAGCGCGTCATGTTTGACTGCAACAAGTCATGAAAAAGGCAGACAGGCCATCCGGGATGGTTCTATGAGCTCCAGTCGGCGCCCTGGCGCTGCTCCATCTGGCGTTTGCGCCGTCGCACCGCGTTGCGCCGCAGCAGGCACACGCCCACCACCACGGCCACGACCACGCCCCCCACAACCGCCCCCACGACGGCGCCCAGCGTGGGCTGCGTCAGGCCCATCCAGGCCTCGCTGGCCGTGCCGTACAGCTCGGCGCTCTCGTCGGCGGCGTCCAACTTTTTTTTTAATACCACACCGGCAAAAACAGAAGGCACACATTTTTCGGGTCCAAAAAATGGTTTTTTTCTCAAAACCAGCTCGTTTAGTTCCTCATTAAGAATGCAGAGATTCGACTCACTCTTACGTCTTTGTGAAAAAAGTCTTAAGTTTCTTATGTTTTCAAGATTTGCTGCGAACTATCTTGACTACAGTAGATGTAAGTGCACATGAACAAGCTTCCATCGTGCCGGATATTTATTGCCCTTTCCGTCGTAGTTGGACGACTCGATGGTCCCGTGAGTCCCGTTGGTGATGCTGCCGCCTAATGATTTTAAAGAGCAACAGAAGTTGTGGATAAAATAGTTTCTGCTTGAAGAATTCGGCCCGGTATACATGGCAGTTGGCACCAAGTTCGTGTATATACAGATCTGTACACTGGAACTTACGCTGTTTCCCGGTCCCAAACACATTTTTGCATTGCTTCATGATACTGTGAAGCCAAAGGATTTTGGTGAAATCCGTTTACGCGGTCAAAATCCGGTTGGAAAGTTCTGAGTGAATCAGAATTTCAAAAAAGTTTAAATGCATTCAGGTGTACCAAAAGTCTCATAAAGCGATTTTCTTCAAATTTTGCACGTAAATGCAAATTAGTATAAAGGTCATGCTCTCACATTGAACAATTTTTTTTCAAATTTAAAAGAAATTTCAAAAATTTCCAGATTCATTGTAATTGAGAACAATGCTGCAACTCTGGTTCATGTAAAAACGATTTTCATGTGTATGTGCGTTTGAATGCAAAATTTGAAGAAGATCGCTTTATAATGAACTTTTGGTCACCTGAATATATTCAAACGTTTTGGAATTTCGATTTACTCATAACTTTCCAACCGGATGTTGTGCGCGTAAACGGATTTCACGCCTACGAATACAAATATTTTGGTTATAAAATATCATAAAGCAATGCAAAAAAGTGTTTGAGAGCGCGCGACAGTGAAAGCTCCCGTGGATGTACACGAATGTGATGCTATGTACCGGGCCAAATCCCTTAATTTCTCAATGTTTCAGTGAGTTTACAGTTTAATGGCTTTACATTGTAACATTCTGTCGAGATATGTCACTGACCGCTTTTTCGCGGTCTTCGCTCCGTCCTGCTACCAGGAAATACAGAGCTGCAGCTCATTAATTCCACGCTTCGCAACAAGCTTGGCGTGCTCTCCTGTATGGTCGATGTGTCAACGAGCGGGATATTGGTTAGCACCATGGGGCCGCTTCTGGAATTCCTTCCGCAGTTGTTGGCAACTGGAGAACAGTTTATGTTTGGATCCTGGTAACGGAAATATAATGGTAGCTCGTCAATTCCCTGACTTTCGCTTTTGGCAAACCTTCTCGTACAAATACTGTTTCTGCGTATTGCTAGCTGCCTTCATTTTTATCACATAGAAATCTTCCAGTGGTCACCTATGTTAAGGGAAACGGCCCGGTACATGGTGTCAAAAATGGGATATATACACTAAAACTTTCGCTTTCGCGCACTCCGAATCAGTCTTTTGTAATACTTTATATCATTCTTAAGCTAAATGATTTGTATACATTGTTCTGAAAACCGTGTGTGCGCGCAACATCCGATTGCCGAGATATGGCGCATTAAAATGGGTGAAAAGTTTAAATGCATTGTTGTGTACCGAAAAGTGTGGTTATTACCCGATTTTCTTGAAACTTGCTGTAAAAGACGCATGGCCATAAAGTAGAAAGTGAACAAATAACCGATTCATAAAATTTTTTCCGATTTTAATATGAATTTTAAAAATTTTTAAATTCATTTTAAAATTTCGTTCGGTACTTTATGCACTTTTACACTTTACTAATGATACTTTGCTTACGAAGATTTCTGTATTACTACCAGTGGATAATTCTTAACGTTAACGTGTTTTTGATGTTAGCTCGTGTAATTTTCATTGGGGAACCAGTCCTGAAATTATTTTCCTGCATCCAATACGAAAGTGTTTGACGCGTAAGATTCCAAGTCAGACAACCACTCCAGCACTGCTTGTAAAAACCTGTAGCCTCAGCTGTAGGAAAATGGCTAAAACTCACAATAATTAATTGCTGTATCATTTATTCAGGCGTTACAGTTAAGTAAGTCAATAATGGGTAATCTATTATGCAAAAACATTGAAAAGCGGCGACGTTTACTTAATTAAGAATAATAATCTATTTAGTATTCTATTCAACCCATTTTTCGAAATTTTCAAACAAATAATCTTTTGTTCAGATACTTAATTTGTGCAGTTTTCTGACAAAATATTTCTGTTCAGCGCTAACGAAAAGGCAAAACAAAACGTTCTGGGATCGAGCAAAATTAAAAATTTCGTCCCTAACTTGGCGACTACCGCCCAATGGTAGGGTTAAGGGGGCACGCAATCAGAAACGGTTTCACTCGCAAATAGTTTTTTAAAATAGTTTGTGTATTAAATAACAGTGCGCTGATATTTATCCAGTGGGATGTCATTGTGTCACTTTTGGCCTCTACTATGCTTGGCTGATAAGCGTTTCGTGTGAACTACGGTTTAGTCGGTACTTTATTCTAGTAGAAACATAGAAAGGTGTAGAAAGGTTGTTGTTGCTCTTAGAAAGGTGAATTTTCCCGGAAAAGCGTCGCTGCTTTATGGCTGCCCGGCAACGCAAAACTGATGCGGACTGTAGTTTGGAAAAAGAAACGTAATGGGTTTTCAGATAATATTACTGTATAATCTAATTATCTATTAACTGTAATTCGATCAGCGTTTTTGATCCAGTTACGTACTCCACATCCCCGTTGTAGTACTCTGATTCCTCTGTAACAATAACCAGCACTATGCAGCGCTCATTCGCCGGTCTCGTCATGCTTCTGCTGGTCATCATGGCGGTCAACCCCCCGGCGACGGCCCAATGGAGCGGCCACCGGGAGCCAGCCGCCCTGGGCTCCTTCCTGCCGACGGCGTTGGCGCGTCTGCGCCGGGCCAACGACATGGCCGGGACGGCGCCCCACGCGCGCCCCGTCCGCTGCCCCTGCCATGTTTTCCCCGCTTGCTGCACCTGGTCCGGCGACTGGGGTTAAGGGTTATTCCGGTTAGTCTGGTTGGTCAGCGGTGCTGCTGTGTATGCATTGTGTCTGTGCATTTCTTTTCTGCTGCTTAGACTGCAATAATATCAAATAATTTCAAGTAGAGGAATGTTTGTTGTACAAGGATAAAGACAATTTAGAAAATCGGTATTTTCAAAAATCGTGTTCCTGCTATAAATTAGTCCCCCTTAAGTTTTGACAAATGAATAAAGGTAGTACAACGAAAAGCCAATCTTGTTTGTAGAGCCAAAGCATTATTTAGTGATCATCATAAAACACGTACGCAGATAATCGCTTTGGCGCCGTACTGCACAAGACACAGAAATCTCACTGCACCAGAAAATACACCATCTGTTTGGCTGTTCCAGCTTCATTAATATGGTTCACGCGAGAATTTAATAGTATCGTAGTTAAACATCTGTCTATACGCTGTACGGCAGCACATCATTGTACCACAAAACCTTAGAGCACATGGCGTCGAATTTGATTGCATGGGCCATGAAAAAGGTAGAAAGGTCATCCGGGTTTCTAGGGGATCCAGTGGGCGCCCTGGCGCTGCTTCGTCTGGCATTTACGCCGCTGCACACCGTTACCAACACCCCCCCCCGCCCAACGACAGCCCAAATGACCGCCCCCAGGGTGGGCTGCATTAATTCCACCCACGCCTAAATATCTTAATTTTACGAATATACCTAAATATTTAAATATCAAAATAACTAACAATAAGGTAGGTACAGTAAATATAAATAATCGCATGCTGCTTCATATAAATTTATGGTCATGTCTATGTGTACTAACGTAAATGCACGGCCCTCTGATCGCAGCTCGCTCAGTTCCTCATTAGCGCGCAGAGCCGCAACGAAGGAATCAAATCGTTTTCATTACTAATGCCATGCTGCCGGCTAATTATTAAGTCTTCGTAAGCAAAATTTAACATCATCAGTAAATAAAGTCGTTACGTTATATAAAAAACGTTACGTTAAATAAAGTCGTTACGTTAAATATATATATATATATATATATATATATATATATATATATATATCAAGGAAATAGATCTATATTATGATCTGCCGCCCCGTGGAACTTGGCTAGAAAAAACCGCTGAACAAATTAAAAAAAACTGATTTCACCATTAAACTCAGCATGTTCCAAAAGGGTTGCACATGCATTTTGTTTTAAAAAATATCTGCCCTGAGACCACCGCTCGGATGCCGGGACCGGTGCAGGCATGAGTTCAAGGTGACCTTGAAAGACCCTTTAAAACACCGTTGCGTGGAGTAATTAATATTGAAAAAGACAGTGTAGTGAAAAACATAACTGAATTTTGTCATTCTTCTTCCACCCATATCTTCAAACCGATTTTCTTCAAATTTTGCATGTAATAAACGCACATACAGATAAAGATCGTTTTGACATCGAACCAGAGTGGTTGGAAAAAATGGTGCAGATTGGGTTTGGTGTAAAAACTATCATTATAATAATGTACATTTACGTGAAGATTAGAAAGGGATTTGGTTTATATTGAGACTCTAGGTACACCTATCTAAACCTTTTGGAATTTTGATTCACCCATAACTTTCTAACCGGATGTTGTGCGCGCAAACGGATTTCACGCCTACGTATACCCATCCTTTGGACAAAATACGAGTATCATAAAGTAATGCAAAATAGTGATCTGGAGTGTGCGACAGCGAAAGTTCCCGCGGTTTTACACGAATTTGGCTCTATGTACCGGGCCAAATCCCTTAAACATGTCATTTAAAGCAGTTATTAAATATTAAGAGAACCCGCTTTATGTGCAAATCAGCAAATCCAGTGACCGAACTGATTGAATGACTTCAGCAGTTTTTATTTGATCACAACCGATAATTGGTGCATACAGTACAGAAAACACGTAAAACTATAACAAAAAAATCTCGTTCAGTTTATCAGCCCCTTCCACAATGACCGAGCTACCACTACTGTTCAGTGAAACGAGCTCTCTAGGGGAGTGAGTGACGGATTACTACCACTGTCCAGTTATGAGTTCGCTAGGTGACTGAATGACTGAACTACCACTCGTGTCCAAAGCAAAGAGCCGCCTAAGCGTGCGAGTGACCAAGTGCACGAAAGCGATAAATTTTTTTAAAAATTATATTAAATTTACAATATATTTTTGGGCCATTCAATTTCGCCGAAATTATAAAATGTTCACCTAATCAAAATCATTGGAATAAACTGGCAGTGAAGTGTGCACCACAAAAAACGCGGAGACGAAGCCGAAGCTGTTTCGAAGAAAGAAATGAAGATCCGAAGAAACCCTGCTCAGTTCTAATAGAGCACTTGAGCTGCCGAGTGAACAGAACCGCGAAAAGGGTCACACTATCCACTGACCAAACATTCCCAATACCGGGAAGACTTTGTGACCGCATGTTGACGGTAGTCACATGACCTGGAGTTAGTGTTAGTGATTTTAGTCCAGATAAGATCGGAACCGTTACTACTGCCCAGCTCAGTGATAACACTAGCACTTCAGCTGACGCCCTGTCGATGAACAGACCCGTGTAAAAGCTCACTCGTCTATCCACCGACAAAGCCTACTGAAAAATGAAACGGTCGCCATTGTCCAAGATCAAAAATTCACTACTGCCCTTTGATGTTAATATGTTCTTAATATGTTCTTAAGCGGAACCGTTATTAGCGAGCACAGTGATTACTAGCACTTCTCGAATGTGATGAACAAAGTCATGAAAGCTCACCGTCTATATTAGAGTAGGCTAAATGAAACGGCGATGTCCAAAACGTTCAAGTTAACCGAAGCGTTTCGAAACAAACTTGAAATTAATCAAAACAACAATCAGTTATCAGACAACCGCCTCGAAGAAAGGTACTGAACAAGAGAATCTGCGTAAGTCGAAGATGCTATATGTATATATATATATATATATATATATATATATATATAAATATCCTATATCGTTACGTTAATTAAAGTACGTTATACCAAAGCCCCACTCATCTCGAATTCTCCCATAAGAAATCATAAGCCGGCGCGTGCCATAGCAGAAAGAAAATCTGCTGAGGCGAAACGATGACTCTTGAGAATATATATATTTATAATATTTAATATAAAATTATTACTATCGTTATTGTAAAAGTGCTGCTGCTTAAATTCCACGGCGTTAATTTAAATCTGGAACTTGAGTACCTTTCAGGCTGAAATTGAGGAGTACGTTATACCTTGGCTGGCCCCACCAGGCGGCGCGCCAACCACATCCCTGATAAGAAAGCGTATTTTGAAAGAAGCACAGGTGATAACAAACGCAAGAGAACGTCAGCTGACAATTATCACGTATTTAAAGAAGAAAGTGAACACGGTAAAAGTACGCCATGATGTCGATAACACAACTTTTCACGTATCTGGAACTTGAGTACCGCAGGCCAAGGCACCTGCTGTCCCGCCCATGTCCTGACTCCTCCCTGCTTGCTGCGTATTCCCGGATTGACGAAGAACGATGCTTTGTACATTCTGTACAGGTCCTTGATAACTGGCGACGGTGAACTTTCTCCTGCCGTCAGCAGGGATACGTGCCGTATTTAAAGAAGAAAGTGAACACGGTAGCACTGGTACGCCATGATGTCGATAACACAACTTGTTCACGTACTCCAGTTCTCCGCGGTAGCGAACCCTGCTGTCCCGCCCATGTCCTGACTCCTCCCTGCTTGCTGCGTATTCCCGGATTGACGAAGAACGATGCTGGTGGCATTCTGTCTCCTTGTGGCCCTGGCGACGGTGACCTTTCTCCCTGCCGATGGGCAGGGATACGTGCCGCGCATCCTCATCCTGCAGACGCAGCCCATCCAGCCCTCCTGCTCCAAAGCCATTGCCTGGCCCCCGGAGGGCGCGCCGGCCCCCGCCGGGGCCAATATGTCCTGCAGTGTGTACCCGAATTATTTCCGCAGCGTCATCGACACCTGCAACTACATCGCCGACCGGTATCTGGCGGAGTTTGGGTACTTTTGGTACTGCTGCAATTATAAATGGGTCCGCCCCGAATGCGGCCAGAGCCTGACGCCCTATAGATGGTCGTGATGCTGTGTTACAGAGTTTCTTTAACGGTTTATATATGGGTTGCTAAGATTGCAGGAGAACCGCTCGGTGTTTGTGCTGGATTTGGGCGAGAACCACTTATCCAGCGTAGGAAGCAACGATATGATCGCTTTAGCCATCGGTGACCTTTACCACCACTCTGAAATAATCGAATAAGGTTTATGACAAGATCTTTTTAGCGGAGAACACCGTCTTGCAGTACTTGGATCTCTCCTACAACGGCTTCAGCGAAAAAGCATCGTATTTAATATTCATGGGCTTAAAGGTCAGCTGACGACGGTTCTCGATGTCTTAACATTAAAAGCGTGTTTATAATGCAGTCGAATAGTTTTATTCGGACGTTCCTGTTTGGACACAACCACGTGGCGAATAAAGGCTGCGATGGCGTGTACGACGCGCTGCGCAATTCGGAGACATTGTGGCGCGTGGATCTGGAGCACTGTGCTATTGTGGATAAAGGCGCACAGGCCGTGGCGAACGGGATCACCAAGAACGATTCGCTTAAATCGCTAAATGTACGTTAAGCTTAAAGCTCGGTTTATGGCAAAAAAATGTCTTTACGGTTTGTTCGTTGCAGTTGGCCAATAATCCCATTGGCGTACCCGGCACAACGGCGCTGCTGAAAGCAATATCTAACAAGGAGAAACTGAAGAGCGTCGATGTTTCGGTACGGCTGAAACAGTGTTACAATGGTTTAGCTTACACTTTGCAAACGATAAAAATGGTTTGTAGAATTGCACGGTGAACGCGGCGTTTGTCACCAGCGCAGCCGCCCTGGAGAGCCAGAAGGAACTGCGTATTAAACACACCGGGGAAGGTGTGCCCAATAAGGCCCTTCCGCCGTATCCCATTGATTTGGATGCGTTGGCCGCCAAAGCCGGGAAAAAGAAGGACAACAAGACGAAAAAATAGCCGGTTGCTTTGCATTGCTTATGGTTTTGCATATCTGTAGACGTTGGAGAACACAAGACAGTTATGAGACAGATAACGACAGCAAACTTTCTGTTACAAAGTTTACCCAGCTTATCAAAAAGCTTATCCTTAACTGTATTTTGTTAATCAGCCAAGATAAGGGACAATTCAATTTGCTGATAAAGTCAAGTCTTCAACTCACCGATTGCCTTTCGTTGCATCATACGAAACATCTATAATAAACTAAACTGCGCTCGTCTCTGTTCCGATCATACGTTCTGACGAGCACAAATTGCTCGTATTAGCAATCACGAAGCACAGCTAAACTGCGTTCATTACTGTTCCGATTAGAAGCTTTGATCATTATTATGCCATGGATATCTTGACCTTAGTGTTATTATTCGTGACCAGCGCCGCAGCGCTTGACCACCGTCGAATCACCTACACCGCGCTACAGCAATTTACCACCGAGACCTGCAACACTTGTAACCGCTCTGCCGACCACTGGCACGCCGTGCAGACCATCATGGACGCCGCGCAGTTCCCGGACGCGGAAGCCAGTCAGCGTCGCAATGTCCCGGCGTGGCACGGCGCCGGCGGGGTCTTCCAGCCCATCACGGAGCGGGTGACGTCCGAATACACCGCCGCGACGATCTTGGCGATCCGCCATGGACGGTACCCCGAAGGGCGGGTGCTGGTGGGGCAGACGATGCATCTGCTGCAACACGCTAATGACACGGTGAATCGCTCGTTGGATTTTCTACACGCGATTGAAGACCAAACCAGCGAATACGCCGTTACGAAACTGCTTGGACTCGGTGCGAAGGATTTGGTGCTGGTGGTGGACGTAACCGAGAACACCGCTGTGGTTCGCTTAAACGCTATGAAAACAAACCTTAACAACATAGTTGCATCGCGCATTATCGCGGTGTATGTCAATAACGAGTTTATTTCGCCGGTTTCAATACTGGAGACGGTTTCCTCAGCGATCGCTTATTTCGATATGTTGCTGATAGACTGCACTCAGCAACTGGGTATCTGTACGGAAACCGTCGCCACCGGTGTGTCCGATGCCCCGATGCGGGCTGTACGCAGCGCCGCCGAACAAGCCGACAGTTCATCGACCATTTTCTTGTTTACGTCCCCCGAACGCATCCAGGACAGCACGTTTCCACGGCACTTCGCTGTTGTGTCCTTCAAGCAGCAGGCATTGGTGGTGATCCAGCGTCCCGATGCCTACTGGATCGACATTTTTTCGCACGATGCGCCGGGGGATTATTTCGCCGGATTGTACCGCAACGAACCCGGCCAGCCAACCGTCTACGTTCCGCTGCGGGGTTCGCCGATCGTCGGGGAAACTTTAACGGCGATCATCCGCACAGCGGACCCGGCCGGCACAGAACGGACGCTAGAGGTGCTCAACACGCAGGACGTCGTGATCCAGTCGAAGCCGATGGTCTTCGACCGGGAATTGGCGGAGTACCGCGCCTGGTTCCAGTCACCGGGGATCCCGTATCGGCTGCGGACGAAGACCGGTGCGGACTATGGCGTAGTACAGGGGGACTTCGTCCCGACGCGGTTTAATCTGTCGCTGAGTCCGGCGCGGCCGGTGGAGTTTATGGCGCCGGGGGGCGTGGTTAATCTGCAGTATAACATCGACCAGCCCGGTCCGTCGTTTACGGCGCAGGTGACCCTGGATGACACTTTTGGGTATAGCGGCGCGGTGAATGAAGGGTATATACTTTTATATCAATGTTTTGTATACTTGTTTAAAAACTGCCTAAAAAATCGCTTGCTGAAAGTGAAACAAAAAAACTACTTTAATAAATTCATAAATTACTTAAAAATATTTTAACTGTTTTAATTTTTAATTTTTAAATTTTTGTCGATACAAATGCTTCATAAATTTTTGGTTATTTCATTTGCGCCTTATTATTGCTAATCGTTCTTTTTATAAATTTCTGCTTCGGGTAACTATTAATGTTATTTGTTTGAAAGCCGCGAATTGAAAATTTAATTATACTCCTAATTTTTTTGTGGCGGATGTGTTTCTAAAGCAGGATAATTTCCAACGACACCGACGGCCGTTCCATGAATTTGACGTCAACCTCGAAATCCGATTCCGTCACCATCAAGATAACGATCCCAACGGCCGCCGAGATCGGCAGCGTCAATTATGTGGTCGTCACGCTGAGCAGCAGCGGCCGCGACGCCACCTTCCTCGTCCAGCCCATCCTCATCGCCAACGCCACCAACCCCAACGACTTCATCCCCAACTGCACCATCCTGGCCACCAACTTCTACGAACAGTGCCCCGCCCTTCCGACCAGCATGGAATGCGCCAACCGCCATTTCTACCTGACCACGGAGTTGGTCGACGAGTACGACGCCTTTGCGTACGATTCCTACATTGAGGTGGAGAGCGATCGTTTCAACGGCAGCGGGTACCTATGGTTCGGTGCGTATTGGCCAGCGTTTCGTGGCAGTACGAACCGTACGTCGACGTGGAACCTGGACTGTTGTTACGTGCGGCATCAGACCGTGCTGTTCGCCAATGGATTTTCGGGCGCAGCGTGTGTCATTCGGCATCCGCTGTATAATGACACGGTGGGCGTGGTCACGACGCCGAACAGTGGGCAGTTACGTGGAGGAGGGAACGGCCTTATGGTGATCGTGGCACTGTTGGCCGGCCTTATCTGTACGCTGACGTGGGCTAAAATAAATTAATTTAAACGTACGAGCATATATTTTACAAGTTCTGTCAGACCCATTCATTCATTGCTTTAACAAAACTGGGGAAAATGCAATTATCCGGATGGCAGACAACCGGAAATTGTGCCTGGCTATGTACATTTTGTTTGTCGTAAAAAAAACAGCGCTGCAGCAAACTAGAAGCATTTTCCTATTATTATGTTTCTCGCGCATTTTCATTAAAATTCATCTCACTAAAAATCTGGAGTAACCGAGGAGAAATCGGGTGAAGAGCAAGGTACGTAATACAACAACATGATATTCGCTGCAGCGAGCCAACCACTTTGCCCACGATTTATGACGCTTTTCATTTCAATAATTCGTGTAATACTGCGCCAAGCTACTTCGCAGTGTATACGCACTGATCGTCTGCGTTGATTGGTTGGATTTCTTTCTCAATGGGACGGCGGATTATTCCCGTTCCTGCGCCCGGTATAAATACAACCCGGTCCTCTTCATAGTGGCCAGCACTTTCGCGGAGATGACCTCCAACATCTCGCGCGGTAACCGGTTAATTTTACGTGATATGTAGCCGGTGTGTTTTACGTGAGTCCGTATGTTTGATTACTTGAAATTTACATGCTCCCCGATACTTGTCGCTCTTCTATCGTAAATAAAACGAAACGCGGCACCAAAATGCAAGCGAAATAATGTGTCATGTGTTATTTTAGTAAACGAGCTCGTTGGCTTCGCGCGAACATGTTCTTAAGACTTAGGATCAAGCATATAAGGTTGCTTGTACAGTCTGTACAGATACAACGGTTTAAGAAAGCTCATACCAGTTTACCAGAGGTTAAAGCATGTCGTTCATGTAATTTAGCCAATACATTTTATCTGGATCCAAGTGTAAGCCAATAGCCAGTTGGTTGCAGTTTCAGAGCAGAGGGAATCCGCCGCCATTCGTTTCGGAGCCAGCAGAGCGCTCGCTGACACGACAGTTACTAGTGATACGACATAACATCCTCGTATGGCAATCGAAGCAGCCATCAAGCAGCCAAACGCCGGTGCAAGCCTACCGCGGCTTGCTGCTGCTGGCGTCAGATAGCGACCTGACGCCACAAGTAGCCAGCCGCAGTTCAGTGTACATAAGAAAATAATGCCTGCCGATGTCAACTACGCATAACATTGTTTGAGATCGTTGGCTTTCGATTCCGCTATTTCGTTCAGTCCGAATGATACGAGTACATAACTTATATGGAAACTTAGACAAAACAACATGGCCAGTGTACACGTACTGTATGCACTGTACAGTACACGGTTTTCAAGAGTGGCATTTTTCCGCTGCAAGGATGTTCGTGTCGGAATAGGTACAGAATGGCCAGCATCACCGCCACAAGATAAAGACAGTAACTTCCAACTGCAGCTTCTAATAAGTCCCGTATTACGCAGTTAATAAACCGGGTCGGCAATAAAAAACCGGAATTGGTGTTGGCGGTGCCGCGGCGTCGCGTTGAAGTAGAAGTAATTCAGTTGGCATGGTATACCACAATTTTTTTCCGGTAAATATAACAAGAGTCTTATCCGCTGTTAATCTTGTGCTTTAACCGGCAGAAAATCCGGAACTGCACTGTTAACTGCAACACGCCATCCGGTGATGCGGAAGATGCACGGATACTACAGCGTTAGCGATTACAGATACGGAAGTATTAGCACATTATAAATCATCTAATTAAGTGCATTAAATTCAACGGGTAAACTAACTGCAGTCTGTATTCAACGATGGAACAGGTAACTGTTATATGGAGTGGCATGATGCTGTTATACGTCGCAAATGCGTCTGATGTGTCGCGGGCAGATCGATGCGATGTGTCCAGCTGCCGAAAAGCGGAATCGTAACTCGTCGCACACTGTCAGCCAACAGGAGTGAAATAATAAGCAATTATTAAGTATTTTACGGTAGACTTGTAGTTGGTATGCCACCTGTCAAGTGTCAACACATGCACAACCAGGAACAACACAGTCATACCGGGGCGTGTACAGGAGCAGGCACCCTGTCATTGCGCACTGAAATCGCGAAAACATGTAAAGCCATTGCACCGCATTGCTATATAATCTTAGCATTTTATTTTTCACGTTTGTCCTGTGAAAATTAATATCAATTTTGAGTTGTACGAAATTAATAAATAATCCATATCAACTAGTACTTTAAATTTTAATTTAATTTTACAAAATCTGTTTTCTGTAGATTTTTCTAAATTTCATGTTGAGTTGAGAATAAACCAGCTGGTCTTCACACAGAATTCGTTTAAACCCAGGTTTATCGGCCAACACGGAAACCGACAATCAATAAAGATGGCCCGTGAGTGACCACTCCATTTACAACCTTGAGCTACCGCCCTTTGCTCGGTTCGCAATCTTCGGCACTACCGTATCTTAAATATTTTTCTCATGGTATACTTCGCTTTGTCTCATATTTCGATCACTTTAAATTTTTAATTATACGGTTCCATATTTCGGTCACCAGGTAGTTGACAAAACAAATTTCCTGACAAAACAAAATTCACAGAGATCATTACTTTTCATAAAAACGACTTCTCTTAATGAATTCGAAGCGTAAACATCCGTAAATTTTCGTAAAAATTAAAATCAAAACTGAACAGATTTGGTAATGTGACTGGTTGAAAGGAATGAATAGCATGGCAAATCAAAAAGCAAGTTGTGCGATCAACAGCTATTCATGTAGTGCGCCGTATGTGCGGTCACATCAGTGACCGGCGGCCGAAATATGTCAACCATGGTCCATACGTGCACTCATAGTGACCAAAATATAAGAAAAAGCGAAGTATCCCTTTCTGGTTTTATCGTTTTTTTCTGTTTCATCGAGTATTTACCATAAATTAGGGCTCTTGACTGCACGACAGTGACGATACTACTCATATTTGTACTACTCTATAGTGTCACGGGTAATACGTCTGTTGGCTAAGCGCAGACGTACAGAGTACGTTCCCCCCGTGATTACGTAACAGAAGTTGTGAATCAACATGAGCAGCCAATTATATGGGAGCAACAGCCCAAATTAGGAGTGTTTGGCGCTTAAAAGTAATCGATGATTTCTTGATGTATGGTTTGTCTATGGGATTATGATAATTGTCTTGTGCTGCGAATCACTCAGGTAGGCGGTTCTGTTGTGCTTCCCATAGAGTCCATTGCTGGCAATGTGAACTGTCTTGAAAGTTGTAAAGTTAGTTGCCGTTTTGATGTCTGCGATGAAGAAGGAAGGACCCGAAACGGTCAGTCTTTCTAGTATGATTAGCGACGGCCAACTCTCTTAGCTTGAGTAATAAAGGTTATTAAATGTTATCAGTTTAGTGGTTGCCGCTAACCTTTCGTTACTGCCAAGATATACCTTAGTCCTACTCCACTGACACGGGACGTACATCTGTTGGCTAAGCGTAGACGGACGTCCCGTGACAACGGTCTATACTGTGGTGCTGCGGCTGAATTTCCGGATGACCTTGTAGTCTTCCTCATAACGATGTGCGTTCAAATACTCTGTATGACGTGCTACGCGGTCTTTTAAATTATTACTCGTACATGCTTTCTGGTTCAATATAGGTACAGAGTTACAGCAATGTAAAAGCCTTGAATTTGTTGTTTTTTTATATTGAATTTCTTCGATAAAACTGGAACAGTCGCCTGAGACAGCCACTGCAGTTCGCATTAATGACAAAACGATGGTATGATTTCCGGGCCCTTGTAATATGAGCACCAAAAAACTAAACAATGCGCATTTTGCTCGAAAACCATTCAGTGGTCTTTATGCGGAATACTGGCACTCCGCTGGGTGAGCTTCGTTAGTCTGCGGTTGCGGTAGAACTGGAGCCGTGTTGGTAAAAAGATTGCATAGTTTTATCGGGCAGCATATATGGCAGGACGAAATTAATATTGCAGCGCGGGTCGCCAGCGTGGCAACTGGACTAGCCCCAGTAACTAAAGGCGGGCCAGCCGCCGGCGCCGCCTATTCCGCAGCAGATGGGCCAGGTGGCGCATAAACAGCGAGCCGTGCGGGCGTGAACCAGGGACCCTGTCGCCGCATCGGCACGGCGCAGACGGGCGACAGCGTTCGGCTGGAAATCGGCTAAGGCGGAAGCGCCCATGTGGGCGCCCCACTGGGCCCTGGCTGTGCTACAGGTTACGGTCAACAGGAGCAGCAGAACGGGCAGACCGGCCAGTGGACACCGCATTCTGCTGATTAATCCACGAGAACAGAGTACTACAATCGAGCGGAAGAAGACTACAGGGGATAATTACACACAAATATTACTTCAGTTAATTCAACGGATCCAAGTTCAGAATCATACTTATTTTACGTATGGTACAACTGATTCTCTACTTTTCAATGGCCTATCCCAGGGCCTGCAAACTTGTGTTCACGTAACACAAAGTGTGTTCACGTAAAGGTGCTTGTGTTCACGTAGATGAGAACTTGTGTTTAAAAATTCCCAATACTCCCCTCTTTCTTGGAATTATCCAGCTCCTGGCTGTTATTTTAATAAAATGTTGTGCAGATTTAGTTTGGTTTCAGATGCCGATTAAGTAATGCTATCCTGCAGGAGTCGTAATGGCCTTACTTGAAAACGGCATATACAGTAATACAATTATGAAATCAATTCAATCGTCAGCAGCAGCGCTGCCTAAAATACGAGTGCTCTTATAACAGCCTATATGTGTCGCGGAACAAAAAATCTGACCGAAGGGCTACCACTAGCACTCAGTAGGCACGAAGGCATTTAAAATGGCAGCAGCCTGTTAAACAGGGAACTCTCAAAGCATTCCCAATTACGTTGTAGTCAAAGCATGCTAAAAATTTCGAAATGTGGCTCAACAGTTTGTGGACAATTTACACGTTTGCTACAGGTCGTTCGCGCCAAGTGTGGACACTTTCTCAAAAAATTTGTTAAAGGTCAGCCGTCTTCGAAAAATAATTTTTAATCCTGAAATGGTTGCCGCATTTGTCTAACATGTTTTACATTTGGGGTTGCCCTGCTGAGATCTTGTTTCAGTTCACAGCGGGAAAAAAATTGAAGCCGACCGGTTTAAAAATGTGGCTCGACCCGTATGTCGTGGTAGCCATCTTCCGACTTGAAATCTGTTTAAAACTTTCAGTTAGGTCACACAGCAAAAATAATAAGATAGGGTTGTTTCCCAAACAAAGCTCTTGCGATATATGGGTGACAACTCTCGGATCCAAGATGCCTGCGTGACCTTTGCAAAGTTACGACGGGCGCTGTCAACTGCTAGGACGACCTCATTTGCGCCTTCGCCGAAGAAGTGCCAAATGTCGGAAGCTACCGTTCTTGATAAAATCTCATTCAGAAAGTGTTGAGCGTCCTTTTTAAACCTTTCATCTATACCATAAGTCCGATACATCACGTTCCAGCAAGTTAAGCAACAGTCATGACTTTTTTAGTCACCGGTTAACTAGCTTTTTTTTCGTTCATCCGACACTTGTATCTCTTCGCCTGTTTTTTGAATATTTTTCAACACTCTAAAACAAAATAACGTAGATCATGTTTGATTCATGGAGATCATCAGTTTGAGGTCACCTATATCCATATGCTACTCCGGCAACTACATTTCTCGGCATGTCTTTTTTAACATATAAGTCTATGGGAGGAACAGTTTGTTTCGAGATCACCGCAAGCACTGATCATGCAGGATTTCTCTGATAACGCGTAACGGATACCTTGTGGGTCACTCAATAGTTTACAAAAAACCCCTACGCAAAAATCTCAAGTGGTGATACCTTTCCCAGAGCTGTCATAAGCATAGAGTGAATGACCGCTACCCGATCCCTTAAAACACCGCTCAGCTCCCTACTCCCACATTAAAAGACTTTGATGTTTGCATGTTTCTGGATGTGCAATAAAAAAACACACTAGAATAATGCAAAACAAAAAACAAAACGACGTACGAAAATATTTTTTGATTTATTTTATGCAACTGTCCACACTTGGCGCAAACGGCCTGTATAACTGCATAAAGTTAGTAACTTTGTTAAATAGGGTGACTATTGTCACCTCAGCCCCGTTTACATTTCTTTTACCCCTTGCACCCCTTTTGACTATTGTCACCCCTTTTTTTTAAATAAAGTGAACACCCTTAGGCTGTGGTCACCACCTTTGTCACCCTTTGACTATTGCCACTCCTGGGCCATTTCTTATAAAAAAATACATTAAAGTTGGGGCTTTCAGCTCAATGGCAAGTAAGATTGTAAACTACCGGAAAGGTACAAAAGGTGCCAGCGACCACTGAGTGCTGTTAGCGCGGAAAGAGGGGCAGCCGTTTGTTTATGACTCTGACCACCGGCGTCGGCACCAGTGATTAAGAAAGTGTTGTTTAAGAAAGTTACTGCTATATTTGCGTTCCTTGTACTTTTCATGTCCCCACCGGCACCGCCAGGTGTGCCGAGTGCAGTCGCGTTCGCTCTTGTTTTTGCCTTTCCTCAATTTACTTACAACTGTAGTCTGTTTTCTTCGCTGGCTCTTATCTCGATTACTACCCGTCCGCCCTTCTGACACAGTTCTGTACTGCCCTGCGTTTGCCCTTACTTTGATAACGGTTAAATCTTGAATGCTGTTTATACCAGTAATGCTAGCTTGTTTTTGGTAATTAATGCTGTTTTTCTTGAAATTTTTGGTTGGTTTTACTATAAATCGTTCGCTGGTTTCGCGCTTCGCGCGAAAGTTGCCGTTTTAACGAGATCCATAATAATAGTTCGTGCTTGCGATTAGCGTACCAAAACAATGTAAATCTTCCTTAAATTTGTTTAACTCAATTCTCGTGGTAACCTTCTGGGTTGATTGGATGTTGTGGAGTTCTCATGTTTTAACGCCTCTTCGGGTCAAGTCTACGCGAATAAACGGTTCACGCTATTTCGCATACTGCCGTTATGCACAATGCACAAGTACGCCGGTACAAAACACACGAAAAAGACAAGCATGTTATCCCTCTTTGCAAAAATTAAATGTGTTCACGTAAAGTTCGAAGATTTCTGGCTGTCACGGCTTCACAAAGTCATTTATTCACTTAGATCTCCACAGTCATACTGGCAGCTTACGCTGCTGCTGTTCGAACGTTGCTATGTCACATCATCACACCTTCCCCAGTGTGTGAAACACACTAAAGAAAATGCACGATATTTGAACATAAGAATTCCAGAATTAACACCAAATTAATCGGAAAATAAATCCAAAATATCGGTATCTTTCACTGCTTCCTTCTTTTTCCGTTTCTTCTCCCGCTTCATTTGCTGCGAGTCTTAACCAGTCCACTGCTTGAAACCGTTTCCATTTCCTTCTCGGGTACGCTTCCGATTGCCGGAAATTCATTTTCTGGCTGTTCGTTACTGACCTCGTCAGTGTTCCTGCGTCCCCGACTGCCACCTCGCTCTGCTGAACGTCGCAGTCTGCCATTTTGATCGCCGCCAGTTTTGTCCACGCACCGGTTCTGCTCCGGCTGATCGCCGATGCTCCACCGGTCTCCAGTATCGTGGAGTCGCTACTGTTCTTCGTGCCATTTCGTCCACTTTCGTGTGCAAGGCAGCCAATTCGCCTAGCACAGTATCCAGGACCGCATATCCGTCCTTGCTGCATCTCCAGGGGCGGCTGCTCGCTCGCCTAGTGTAACTAGGCTGATGTTTAACCATACAGTCAAAATCACTATCCACATTAACCTGTAGCACATCGAACTCTTCTTCTATCAGATTGCGCCGTGCACCATCCCTCTGCTGCTCTTTCTCCTTCGGGTCGGCGCGATAGGTTCTGCAATGTGGCCATACCTGCCACAATTGCCACACCGCAGATCTTTTGCCCAACATTCGGCCTTGCGATGGTCGCGCTCTCCGCATCCGTAACATCCGCCACTGAATGGCCACCGTGCCGTTTGGCTTCCGCCTTCACGGTCTCTCTCCCCACTGCCGCTTCTGCCGCGGCGGTTGTCGCCTTGGGCCTCCCGCCCTTTTGGCCTCTCTCCACGGCCACTAGGTCCGTGACCTTTATCCGGGCCACGCCCATCGTGGACTCTCGCCACATCCACCGTCTCCGTGGTCTTCTTTGTCTCTCGGGCGAGCTCGTACAGCTCGCAAATCTCCAAGCACTCCTCCAACTTGGTGCGTGTCTTTGACATCAGGTGCAGCCTGGTGTTTCGTTCACCAGTCCATTGGTAAATGCAGCCATCATGTTCTGCTCCAGGACTGTCGCAGGAACCACAACCAGTCGCCTTCCGGCGCAGTCTATTGAGAACTCCAGGAGCGTCTCCCCAGGTTCCTGCTTTATCCTAAAGTACAACGCCCACTCCGTCTCCTTCAGCGTTTTCTTCACAAACACTTGCTCCAGTTTATCTGCCAGCTGGCCAGCGGTGAAATCGTCCGGACTGCCAGGCAGGCACATGGAAATAAGGATCTCCAGCGCCTCCACGCCTAAGGCGTCCAGCAACACCGCCTTCTGCTCGGCCGTGTCTGTGACCTTGTGTAGTGCTACGTAGTTTTTGTAGCGATACTGCCAGGATCGCCAGGTCATCACTGGCTCGAACCTCATCAATCCACCGGTGTCCTCCTTTCTTCCTCCCGACAGCATGGCTGTACCACTTCCCGAAGGCATAACCACGCTGTTCAACACTTTATCACTCTTAAACGGCAATAAGCTCGATTCCTTCACGCCAGATTGTCACGGCTTCACAAAGTCATTATTACTTAGATCTCCATTAGTCATACTGGTAGCTTACGCTGCTGCCGAATCATACTTATTTCACGTATGGTACAACTGATTCTCTACTTTTCAATGGAAGCGGAATAAAATTATACGTTGCTATGCACCCAGCAACGAGCCCTTATTATTTCACATTAATTCAAATGAAAATTAATTCAAATTATTTTGAAATGGGGCAAAACGATCGCATCGCTGACGGACCAACCACACCCCCACTACAATTATATTACTGGAAACAGGCTGGCCAGCGCCCGATGCCCACCAATTGTACTTGTTGCGTGTATAATAAGTATTAACTGTAAATGGTCTTTGCTCCCTCTATTGCAACATATGCTCAAGTTTTTCAAGGAAATTTGACCATTTGGTTTGACAGGATACCTATTAAGTATTAAACATTTTTATCGAAAATGTAACGAGAAAGGAAAAAATGTAATGAAATGAAATACAAATGAAATGAAATAAAATGTAACTAAGTCAGAATTTGGCCTGTGACCGTAGACCACAAGAAACGCGGAGGCCAAGCCGAAACTGTTTCCTGTAAAATCATATTTGCCCCTCCTAAATATCCTGAGATCCTTGAGTAAGAGAAACAGAATTTTTATCAAATTTTTGTTGAAAGGGCGAGCTGCCGCTGCGTCGGTTGTTACGTACAGTACTTCAGGCAGATATTAGAGTACAGAACGTAGTCTATCTGTACTTTAAAAATTCCTTTGTCTCGCAGACCAGTACTTAGGTTTGGCAAAAACAGTAAAATTAACAGATGGAAAACTGCGCTTGCAGATACGGGTTTCGTAAATATAAGTCAACTCCCTGCAGAAATTGCAATCATTACACTGCATGAATACTAAAAAAATGCATCTATTCTGCAGAAAACTCAAAAACAGTTAAAAAATTATTGTATAGAATCGTTGATTGCTGCGGCAAAATTAATGTTCATATTAAGACCGAAGTAATAAAACAGATAAATGCTGAAATAAAAAAAGTTTAATTCCAATTTTTTGGGCGTATAGCACTTTCGTAAAATGAAATCCAAAAAATTTAAATTTCATTTTAAAACTGGGAAAAATGCCAGACTTCCGGATCCGTGTCAAAAAAAGATCTTTAGGCTTAGGTGCATTTTTGCGCAAAATTTGAAAGAGATCGGTCCGTAATGAGACTTTTGGTACACCTTCTTGCATGTTTGGTATCGTAATGGACCCATATATAGTTTCCCAATTACTTACCTGGAAGATGTCTTCAAAATTTTGAAAGAAATTTCAAAAATTTTGAATATTAAACTGAAATTTGAAAAAAACATTGTGGAAAGTGGTCTGGAGAAGCGTCCTTCAAGATCATGTGCATTTTCTGCAAAATTTGAAACAAAATCAGTTTATAAATGAGTAATTGACTTTTGGTACACCTCCATGCATTTAAACTGTCGGAATTTTATTCCACCGGTAACTCCGTATTCCTCAATTCCTCAACCGGATGTTACGCGCACAAGCGGCTTTTACGCCATTGTATACAATAATTTGGCTACAAAATAATATCATAAAACTATGCAGAAAAAAGTTTTTGTGAAAGCGCGGAAGCGAAAGCTTTAGAACATGTACCACAGTACTAGTACCATGAAGATCGGACAATACAGAAGCCGGACTTTTGGTGCACAGCAATGCCTCTAGATTTTTTTTCCAGTTTAATAGACGGGTGTTATTAATTATTTTTTATCGCAAAAGCCAACAGATAAATTGTGGACGCCATGCTATAACAAAAAAATCTCGTGCGGTTTATCCGCTTCTTCTATGGTGCGCAGCGCAAAATGCCGGCTAATTTCGTTTTTCATTGTAATCGATTTCGCCGGTTGTCGGCGTCCTCCACTGGATGCCGTGACGCGATCCACAATACGCCTCTCACAATGTGAGTACACCGGTTCGCGGAAATCCCGTAACCAGCGCCAAATCGCTGGGCCGGCATAAACGGCAAAGGAAAGTCCGGCATCCAGGTGGCGCAGCAGGTCAGGGCTGCAACTGTAACATGCACACCAGCGGAAAACGGTTCCAGCACAACGAGGGATGGCTGCCAATGAGCAGGACAGACCAGACAAGTTCCGCGCCGTTGCCTATCCAGTACAGTCCTGTCGTGGCTAATAGGACAGCTGTGGCCGATACGGCGACTTGCCCGGTAGGATTAGTGCTGGTTGGTTGGTGACTTTGAATTGACCTTTGACAGTGACGCTTCCACAGATGACATACGATGAGAGCAGAGCAGATCGTGATGATCATGGCACAGGCCAGCTGGTGTCCACTCTGCGAGCCAAGTGATTCAAAGCCGTTCGTTAGCCAGCGTTTCTTATTGATGCAGTACGGCCTGGTACAAGTAACGGAAACTGCACGTGTTACGAGTAATTCATTTAAAATTTGAAATGAAATTAATTGCTTTCTCCGCCCATGAACATACAATCCGGGTTGCTCACAAAATCGGACAGAACAGTAACAACTGGATGAGCAGAATTTACGGCGGACGTTTTGCTGGACCGCCGGACAGTTTTGGCGGCCTGCAGGCAAAAGCGTTCTGCGGACGGTTCATCCGTCCGGACGGTTTTGCCGGTTACAATTGTGGACCATAAGTGCTTATTATCTAATCTGAAGATTTAACTGGAGAAGCGCGTTCTACTGCTTTCCTTAAGCAGCGCTTCAGTCTCGCTGTTGTTAAAGGAAATGCCACGGCTGTCTTGAGCACGTTACCTTTTAATCCAAGAGAAGATAGAGATTTTGGTTGCTTTTTTAATGTTTAAATTTTAACGAGCAAGTAGTGTACCGGCGCTTGCAATCATTGTTATCTTGGTGGCTATTTCCCATTAAAAATAGTTTCATCTGCAGATCCTGCATAGTCACAGGTTGAAGGAACGCTCGCGGGGCTGGGCAGCGAGCACGGATAGTCGGCCCTTTGAGATATTAACCGCCGACGGCCCGGGTGCGCGGGCCACACCCCCAACCTGTTTTTTAATAGTATAACTATAATGTATAACTGTTAACGATTCAAGTATACGTATAACTGACATTAACTGTTATACATATACTTGAATCATTGTTGTTTAATGCACTGAACTGGATAGAAAAAGGCATAACAGGTTCATTGAGCAAAAAGCGTGAGTAAATCGTTTACTGTATTTGAGCTAATACAGTAAAAGCTGAACTGAACTTGCCTGAAACCAGGTGTAAGCCAGCATCCAGTTGGTTGCAGTTTCAGAAGGAATCCCCCATTCGCTTCCGTAATGCTGAGCCAGCAGGGCGCTCGAAAACGCGACAATTAACAGGCCGTACCATATAGCAATCGCTAAGAAGAGTAAATGCCATGGCTTTGATTTAATTCTGCAGCTCCTGATAACGAACCGGCGCGAATACTGCCAGGAAGCGAATAACGGCATAGCTGGCCAGCGTCCTGTGCAGTACACGCTCAGTTTAAGCTCAAGAACATTGAGAAAGAAAAATAAATCATTATTATAAAATTCGATGAAAGTGCACAACGCTTTTCAAACCATCTAAATCAATACGGTACAGAATTTAATTTTGCTTTTGCTCTCAGCTATTTCAACTTTGTACATAGCTAATTAGTTACATACCCTTGGCCCACCATCATAAGGACAACATCGAAGAATACAAGAATGGTTGTATGCTGTAATAGAACACTGTCATCGTTTAAACAGCCAAAGGCCGGTGCAAGCCTATCGGACGCCAGGAGCAGCAATGAGCGGTTCAGCCTGCATAAAAAAATAATGTCTGCTTTCCTCAACTTGCGATGATCATTGCCCCATAGTAAATAATCTTACATAAACACAATATGAATCGACATATAAACCGCGAGGAATTTGTACTGGCTGCTCGTCCTTAGCTCCCGGGCGGCCCGGGTTTCGTGCGCATCGTTTTTGGAGGAATTCTGCCGCAGCATGCTGATCACCACACCGTCGCCTAATAATCCCACGAGCAGGAAAATGAGGAATGTAACCGTCGTCAGTTCGTCCATGGCCAGATGACAAAGCCGTTGGCGCCGGGCGGCGATATGTTCGATACTAAAATTTACCAAAGGAAATCCACAGGCGTCGGTGTTGTTCGGTATTTTACATAGGATAATCCGTCATCGGCAAATCAAACTGGAAGAAAATAGTGCACAACAAATTCACAACACACAAGATTGTTTTGGATCGTTTGCTGTCGATTCCGTTGTTTCGCGCAATCCACAGCGATACGATCGAGTAAATAACTGAAATATAACAATTTACAAAACAACATGGCCAGTGCATACGTATTGCACAGATCACGGCTCTCCAGAGCGGCAATTTTACGGTAGAAGGATGCTCGTGTCGTACGTAACAGAATGACCAGCCTCACCGTCGCAACATATAGACAGTAAACCGGTTAACTTCCGATTGCAGTCCCTAATGAGTCCCGTATTAGTAGGCAGTTAATAAAAGAGTCAGCAATAATAAACCAGAGGAGGAGCAGCGGCGTTGCGTTGAAGTAATTCAGTTTAGAGGTACACGTCAATTTTTCCGGCGAATATAAGAAGAGTCTTAACAGCTGTTAATCTTGTAATTAGCCGGCAGTAATTCCGAATCTGCACTGCTAACTGCAGTTGTCGATCTAATACCGGATGTACGGATAATAGAGCGTAATAGGGGATAGATATACGGAGTAACGGAAGTATTAGGACGTAATATAGTACAGATCTGTATCTACTGGAATTAAGTGCCATCGGGTTAACTGGTTAACTACAAACAGCTGCATTCAACGGTGAAACAGAGGCAACAATTATAATATTATGGAGTATCATGATGTTGTTATGCATCGTAAATGCGTCTAAAGTGTCGCGGGCATATCGATCCGATGTGTCCACCTGCTGCAGTAAAGCGGAATCGTAACTCGTCGCAAACAGTCAGCTAAATAGGAGCAAAATAATAAGCAATTATATCGAAGTATTATACGGTATATACGGTGGAAACCTGTAGTTAGTATGCCAACGGCCAACTCTGATACACAAATAACACAACCAGAAACAACAAAGTCAGACCATATTATCTGGGCGTGTACAGCCGCGCGGCAACCTGTCAGTGCGCTCTGAAATCGAGAAAACACGTGGAGCCAGTGGAGGCGCAAAGGATCGTACCAGTACATTGATTGTACTGTAGTACTGTGGCCGAATGTCCGGATCACCTTTCTGTCTTTCTCGATTTCTCATGACGATTTGCGATCAAATTCGTCTACCTTTATAATATGTGCTTTCTGGTTCGATATGGTGCAACGGAAAAACCTTTGGTTTATCCTATTTTTTTCTTAAACTTCTCCGATAAAACTGGGACAGCCGCATGAGGCAGCCACTGGACTTCGCAATGATATAAAAAACCGATAGCATTAATTCCGGGCCCTAATAATTCGAGAACAAGAAATTAAAAATGCGCATTTTTCTAGAACCATTCAGTGGTCTCTATGCGGAAAACTGGCACTCCGCTGGGTGAGCTTCGTTAGTCTGCGGTTGTGGTAGAACTTGAGCTGTGTTGGTAAAAAGTTTGCATAATTTAACCGGCAGTACATGTATATATGGCAGGACGTTATTAATATTGCAGCGTGGGTCAACGTGGAAGTTAGGCCAGCAAGGAACTGGACTAGCCCCAGTAAGTAAGTAAAGGCGGGCCAGCCGCCGACGCCGCCTATTCCGCAGCAGATGGGCCAGGTGGCGCCACTCAGTACTGGTTTTATGCACAATTGTTCTGCCAAAGGCCCGCCAAGGCAATCGATTGTCCTTACAGTACTTTCCATCGTTTCTGTCACTCGGGCGCACAACCGAGGCGGCGGATACGGTAACGCACTGGCGAACCGCTGCACGCAACGCCCGTGGCGCTTGGTGAGGTGATGGACGCGTAGCGAGTTGCAGCAACAAACACGTGCTGAATACTGTCAGCCACATGTACACTGACACACTGTACCGTATGATTTAAAATCTGGCCCCCTTGCGCTCCGACCTCGCTACGCCGTTCGCGCCGCCGTCCGCCCAGTGCTACTCGGCCCGCTACCGTCCATCATCGCCAATTTAGCCCGTATTGATATGACGCACACGGCGACTGCGCTTTGACAGCGCGCTGAAAATGCGCAACGATCGTTTCACAGGATCCTCTTCATGCTTCGCACATTCGATTTGTTTGTTTGGGATTTTCTGATTTGATCTTTTCCAAATATCTCATCTGCATTATCTGTTGCTTTTTTAATCGTTTTATCGTAATCTGGTGGGATCTGATTGTGGTTTGCCCCATGTTGTGCACAGCGTTAAGTGTGCTGCGCATGAACGTGTTCCGACATGTTTGGCTCCGGATCGGATCGGACGGGCAGCATCTCCAAGGGACTGTTCCGCTCCTATTACAATGCCTCGGCGGCCAGCAATAATCTGCTGACGAAGGGGGAGAAGAAGAACGGCCAGCATGTCAGTTATGGCCAGGGGGAGCCGGAGGAGCCCAGCGCCAGTCCCGATGTGAAAATCGAACCTCCGCGTTTAGCAGGTGGCTGTTGGTTTTTTTCCTCTCGTTTTTTGGAATTTTTCTCGTTCCGTATACCGTGGACAATTTTCCCAAGGCAGTTCTTATCTTGCTGTTTTTTTCTTGAAATTTTTTCATCGATATTCCTAAATTACTAACTTTCCGTTGATCGCTGCTCTATAAAGAAGATCTGAAAATCACTAGCTTTGGATGATTTCAGTATTTTGTTATTTTTAACTTTTTTCCCCTGCTTACAAATTTAGTTGTTGTTTTTGCAGCATTAACTTGAATTATTTCTGACGAATTTTAATTTTATTGTGCGCAGTGCGCGCTCTACATAAAATCGATTGAGTTGGCTTTAAGGTGTTAATTAAATTGGACAAAATTTTCGTTTTCGTGATTTGTCGGAGGAATTTCGAAATTCCCGTTTTCTGTTGAAAATCTTACGCAGTTTGGATTTATTTTTCTTCCTTGCGTTTCATATTAACTTAAAATACTTGGGTGAATTTTCTGTTAAATTTCTTTACTCTGGTTGTCCTCGGTAAACAGCACATTATTTTTGGGGTTTTTATTTTTTTCGAAGAGAAATTCGCAGTTTCCTGCGACAGTTTTTCTGCTGCGAGAATTTGATTATTATTTCGGGCACTATTTACATGAATTATTTTCTACAAATTATTACGCAATACCGAATACGTACTTTGGTTTATATACGTAGTGTTAGAAACATAATGGGAGTTTAGTGTCCTCAATGCGGCTTTCCTGTTTATTACTGCAACATTTTAAATGTTTTTTTTTGAATTAATAGCCAAATTTTTTAGAATTAATCTCAGTATTGTTTTCCACCGCTGGTTAATTGAAATTTAGTTTCTGTGTGTAATTCGTAGGTAAGTCTGTATTTTTTTTTAGAATTAATCTCAATATACTCGTATTTTCTGTGGCTGGTTAATTTTTGTGTGTAATTCGTAGGCCACACGGTATTTTTTTAATAATGAAGATCAGGATATTTTCTGTGGCTGGTTAATTTTTGTGTGTAATTCGTAGGCCACACGGTATTTTTTTAATAATGAAGATCAGGATATTTTCTGTGGCTGGTTAATTTTTTGTTGTAATTGTGCACACGTATTTTTTATAATGAAATCGATATTTCTTGGCAGGTAACAGTTTTAATTTTATGCTTGCGCAGAAATTTGCGCATTAGTCAATTTGCTATGCGCCAGAAATTCTCGATTAAAATGTAAGTGCTTTAAGTTGTTAATATCCCTTTACGAAGTCTAATCATAACCCACACGTCCGATTACGATTCAGCGAGCCTTCATCAATGTCACTTCACAGTACATACTGTAGTGATCAAATGCTGGTAAGAAGTTTTATCAACTTGATGTTAGATCTCTTACAGTTGTTTATCACAGCTCTTACATCAAACACTTGTGGACATGAATTTTTTGAAACTGGTTCCGTTTTCAATAATTTCTGTTTAGCCTTTCGAAATGTAGACCTTTGGCATAATCTGCGCTTTGATGTTCGCATTTTTTCAGTGTTCGACGCAAAACGCTGGTGCATATATCAATTACTTAACCGATCTTTTTGCACGAAGACACTAATTGATTTTTTCTTTGAGTGCAAAGTAATAATGTATTATTCCAGGTTTATAGCTTATACAACATTTCCGTCTATGTGCACAGTACTCGCGATTTTGGGATTTAGCAGTAACCTTTTAGTCACAAAATGGTGGTGAGTATCATAAAATGGATAAGAGTTCCTTATGTCGGTGGCTCATAAATTGTACTCAACATTGAGATTTTATTTTCGACTGTGAAAATTATGCCCTGTTTTTGATTTGTAATGGAAATGTACAGTGGTGTTTTTTTACTTTCAACGCGGATAACAACACAATGATCATGTGATTTTCTTCGTTCGCCGGTTTATCCTCTCTATTATCCGCTTTATCATGGCAACGTACTCTATTTATTGTTCTGCTGAGCAGTAATTTTTGGGTCTAATGCCCATGTATCACAAGTATTCTGGTACTCCAGTTTTAGTTTTTTTAATATTGAGTTCTTGAAAGCGTAGTTTGTATTTTGTAATGAATCTCAGTTGTTATGCTGGTTAATTTTGACAGTATTATTATTAATTTAGCGATAAATTTTATGGCAAATTTTATATAGAACGAATGGCCACATATTTTCTGGGCATAAGTAATGGATTCATATTGTAATTTAGTTGAAGATTAATTTTGTAGACCGGTCGGCCTTTTTTTAGAATTAATCTCGGCATATTTTCTGCGGTTGGTTAACTGAATTTCTAGTTATTTTGTAATTTTCAGGCGAGTCGATCTTGGCGCGTGCCCAGGGCGTGCAGGTGTTCCAGCCACTGTCGGCGGACAACCAGGGCGTCATCGGGGAGCTGTACGTGACCAACTTCAAGATCAGCTTCCAAACCATCACCTTCCCCGACCACCGCTGGGACCACTTCCAGGCCATCCAGGGTAAGCGCGCTTCTTCCGCTCCGTTTGCGTGCCGTTGGGCTGCGTGAAGGGAATCTTAATGAATTAAGACTGACGGCATTCGGTTGCGGAATATACAGCAAGAGGATTTTTTTGACGGTTTACAATTGAATTATCATTTATTGCCCATTTATGTAGCGCGTATTATTTATTCTATATTTTCACGAATGCTCGCAAATTAGTAATAAATATTACATGCTTATTAGCCGAAATATTTTAAATTTTGGAAATGTGGGTTCTTGTATTTTCCTTTTTTACATCACGATTTAATTACCGTATCTTCAGTATTTCTTTGTGAAGAGAAGAAGACAGATCTGGAGACAATTTCGCGTTCTGAAAATGCCTTTTTTTGTTTTTTAGTTTCCTCTTTTAATTGCTTGCGTAGTGTTACCCATTTTCGTTAAATTTAAATAGCTTAACAGTCGTTGTGCTACCCTAGCTGTTGTACTGGGTTTCAGATAAACAAATATAAGGCAAAATCGCTGAAGGAGAAAATTTCAGAAATAATTATGATGTTATTTATTTCTTATTTTTGTGCGTTGTTAGTTGGAATTGAACCGTTTCCGTAGATGGACGAAAAAAAATTTGTTATTAGTTATTACTAATTTGACGAAAAAGAAAATTTCGAAGATATTTAAATAATTGATTTTTTTTCCAATTTATTGACAATTTTTTCTGGGTATTTTAAATGCATGTTATGCTGTTTGCTTTCGCCAATGATAATGTTTTTAATTATCAGCAAAAAACGTATTTATTGTCGATAACCGGGTGAATAAAAAAATTGATTAATATTTGATTGAATTCTGTTTTTTGTGTGTTTTGTGATTTGTATTTGATTGATTTTGCCAATGATTTCTTTGTCAATTCGATAAAAAAATTAATGTCGATAACTTGGGGAAGGTGAAACAATTATAATTCTAAAAATTATTTTTAAGCTGATCTGTTTCTATACTTTCGGTGTATTTTGTGGCAAAGAATGGGCTGATGTTTTGTTTAATTTATCGGAGAAGAATACAATATCGATTTACTGTACATTACGTTTTTCTATTGACATTGTCAGTTTATTTATTGAGCAGGATGTCGTAAATATTGGATTGTTTGAGCCGATATATAGAACGCGGTTCTGCGTGGGTTTTGCGGTGTGCGCGGGATGTTTATCGGTGGTGTGTGCGTGTTGTGTAGATCGCGATAAGCCGCCGTTGAAGGCCGCCGCCAAGCGCAGCAGCAGCGGCACGCCGGACTTTAGCACGCGCAGCGACTGGCTGCAGCTGTTGGACCGCGTGGACGCCGCTACCTGGCGCATCACGCAGGCCAACGAGGACTTCCACCTCTGTCCCAGGTACACGTAACTACAGTGCGCAGAATTTTTTTAAAATTTTTTTACAATTTATTTTGTATATTTTTCCGTATAATAAATATTCCACGTATTAATTATTCCACGTATTCCGTTCTAAATTGAACCTCCGGCTGAACCTTCCCTTTTTAAAATACCGGCAGTTTATTAGGGCATCATTTTCCAGTTATTTTAATAATTTAAAAATATTAATGTTGTATACGGCATAATGATTTTATATTTTTTTATGATAGTATTTTTTTATTAATAATAATATGAGGCATAATATTACGAGTAATATGATAATATGAGGCATTCAGTTCACGATATATGTCCCAGTTAAACATCGCTACACTGCGCAGATTTTTTTAAAATTTTTTTACAATTTATTTTGTATATTTTTCCGTATATGTATTCCACTTATCTAAACTAAACCTCCGGTTAAACCTTCCATTTTTAAAATACCGGCAATTTAGTACTCGTATATTGTTTTTCAGTTATTTTAATAATTTAAATATATTATTCTTTTGTACGGTATAACGATTTCATATTTTTTATGATATTTTTTTGATAATATGATAATTTTTTAATAATATGATATTTTGTAATAATATTTAAATATAATTCCGATATTTTCTCGCTTTATTTTCCATTTTTTTTAAAAATTGGTTCCGGTTTTGTTGGCGAATTGTTCTCATCCCGGTTTTAACGTTTCATTTTCCGGTTTTTAATTGGAATTTCACTGTTTTAGTTTGCACAGTTTTTTTGAAATAATGTTTTTGTGATTTTATCGTTTTTATTTTGCGTTGTTTTTAATTTTCGGCGTTCCGTTTTGCACGGCTTTTAGTTGACTTTTAGCTGGACTTTTCTTGCTTACATTTATTTCGAGGTGTTTTAATTTTATCGTTTTTTTATAATATTGTGATTTTAATTTTACGGTCTTATTTTCTGGATATTTTTTATGTTACCGTTTTTTTTCTGTGTGAGTACAGATTTTGGTTTTACTGTTTTATAAGCTGCATATTTTGATTTTCGATTTTACCGTTTTATTTTCTGCATATTTTGATTTTCGATATTTTACCGTTTTATTTTCTACGTATTTTGATTTTATATTTTAGCGTTTTATTTTTTACGTATTTTGATTTCAGTTTTATGATTTTATTTTCTACTTATTTTGATTTTAATTTTGCCGTTCTTTTGCATACTTATTGTGATTTGTTTTCCAAATCGACTTGAAGCGTAAATTTGTTTAAATATTGGTGGATAATAATATTAACGGAATAACAATTTCTCTGTTTTTAAACGCGAATATCCACTTGAGAAATTTGATAGAATTTTATTTGATCGTTTAATCGGCAATTATGTTGTCCTCAATTGATAAGAACGAAGGTGGGTAGTCGCATGTGGCGCGACGCAGCGCCAGCACGTTCACTACACACAATTAACATGCTATCTGAGCGAAAATTCTTATCACGTCTGTGCCGACTTCGCTATGACTAATCGTCTCACTATTAAACAAATATTTATTTGACAGAATATTTTCACATGGCAAAAAGATGCCTGCATTGTTAGACTGTACATGCACTGATTCATAATGTAAATAAAAAAAAAGTCAGCCAAAATCGTTAGCGTTACTTATAAATTTTAATCTTAAATAGGTCGCGCATTTGGTGTGCTATTTATTTTGCAGACATTTTCCCTTTGATGATTCATTTTGGCTGCTGATGTGTTTTAGACAACGGCAACTGACCAGCCATTTTTATCTGCGTAATTAAATCATGAAATTAAATACTTATTTAGAAAAACGTAAGTGGAACTATAAAATAGCTAAATAATTAGAAAAACGAATTTAAAATACTTTAGCGGCGTTGACTCGGCAAAACAGTAAACACACATCGTTTTTTATTGCTAGATCAAATTGCGATTTATGAAACAATTCAACAAAATAGTTTTTTATAATAATTATTATAATAATATTTGCAGTAGTTATTTACAGTTATTAGTGAATATTGGTATTAGCAGTTAGTTTTAATCGGAGTAGTGATTGCTTGATTATAATAATTACATTTATTTGCAGTTTACCCAAGTGCTTCGTCATCCCCACCGCCCTGGGGGACGACGCCCAGCTGGAGCGGCTGTGCGGGCAGTTGGGCGTGGCCGACGAGCGGCGCCCCCTGGTGTGGTGCTGGAGCGCCCGCCACGGGGCGGCACTGTGCCGGATGTCCAGCGACACCGACCGACACACGTCCGTGAATTTTGCCTGGTTTTTTTTCTGCCGTTTTTCCACCTTTTCCCGGGGATTTTTCTAATATAAAATTTAAATACTTTTAAATATGGTATTTCTTATTATTCTTGGTTTTAGTTTTTTGGCTCTAATTATTTTCCCTTATCATATGCGACGCCCGAATGGCGGAACTGAGCCCTTTTAACCTACCATTGAAATTGTTGAAAATTAAAAGTTAATTTGATTAATTTTAATGGAAATTGGCGGAATATTTCTCATTACGGTATTGCATGTCTGGCTAATGGTTTGTTAGGTTTTAGTAATTGAACTTTGATGTAATTTCAATTTAATACATTTTTTTCTAATTTATACTTTGAAGTTTGATGTAGTTTGTTTCAAATAATTTCTTTAAATTGTTTTGAGATTTTATTTGAGTAACATCGTTGATAAATTGCAGGTTTGTGGAAGCGGTGAAGTTGGCGCATCCCGAACGCAAATCGCCGATTGTCTATGATATCGGCACACTGGCGCCTTCCCTCAAAGAGATTAGAAAGCATCACGATGCGCTCAGGGATTTGGTGCTCGTTGGTCAGTAAGCAAATGTAAAAATCCTGATTGTAAAAATAGAATATTTTTAATCAATAATATTCGAAAATATTTATTATTATTTTCTTTTATTTTTATTTAATCTTGCTTTTGATTTATTTATTAGTCCAGACAAGTTGTTGTCGTAGAGGTGTTCTTTTTTGAATAATAATTTATTCTTTCGATAGTAAAAAAATGGGCGCAGAATTCTGTTATCTGACCATCACGTTTTATCGAATTTCTAGCTAATTTATGTATTGATTTTGTCCGGATTTTATGGATCAATTAATCGCGATAATAAGGCAGAATTCCAATAAATATCGGAATTTTTTCTGATATTTTTTTGGTGGTAGAATCCTTCAGTGTGCTGGAATCGGCGGACGATAAATGGTTCGTGGATGTAGAAAATACGCGCTGGTTGCACAGCGTCAGTCGCTGCTTGGAGCTGGCCTACACCGTGTGCGATGCCTTACAGAAACAGACGTCGGCCATCCTAAAAGGTACAAGGTTGCTGTTTATTATTAGGCCGCAAGAAAATAATTGGAAAAATGATTTTACGGAATTATTCTCTAAATTTGTGATTTATTTATCATTTTAAAAAATCTGATTGTGTATTTTTCCGTTGCGATGGCGGTAATCTGTTGTGAAATTCGTTTTTCTATGGGTAAAATTTTGTCCGCGATGACAGGAAAAAAAATGGATTAATAATTTAGGAATTTTTTATAGAGAAAATCAATTTTATTTAGAATTTAATTAAATATTAAGAAATTCGTTTTTAAATGACGAATTACTTTGCGATATATTGTAGGATATTCTGTAAAATTTGGTCACATTTTCTTCGTTTTTCTACTTGTGGAATTTTGTCCCCGATGATAGGGAAAAAAAGAATCAATAAATTGGAATTAATTAAATCGGACATCATTTTAATCAGAATTTAATTTAAATATCAAGAAATAGATTTTAAATGAGGGATTACTTTGCGAAATTGTTTCATATATTCCTGTAAAATTTGCTGGCATTTTTGTTTTCTTTTTAATACCTTTTCCGATGTGAATAATGCGATTTCAGTTGGTGAGAAATGATTGGAAAATAATGGAATTAAATCCGGAATTCATTGTGAATATTGGCGTATTACGCATATAATTTGTAATTTGCGTAATGCGTGTTTTGTATAGAAAGTGGCGATCGGGATTTGAACTGCGTGATCGCCGCGCTGGTCCAGCTGCTGATGGATCCGGAGCGGCGCACTATTCCGGGCTTCCAGCGGCTGGTGGAAAAGGAGTTTGTCGCGCTCGGGCACCGCTTTCAGGAGCGCTTGGGCCTGGTGAAAACCGAACCCGACCGCGAGGTAAATAACAACTGCCAAAAATTTCAACTAAAATACGTATTATATTATGCTAATATTATTTTTATTTATTTGTATATTTGCTAAATAAATTAGGAGTTTAAGTAATCTGGGAAGGTGATATTTAGAAATTAGCGGAGTAATTTATTTAATCAAACGTATATGTGAAAGGGCGGCTTTTTGTTGTTTCTATCGCAGCAATCGCTGTCTTTCCTGTGGTTGTTGACCGGAAAATTATTCCTAAATCTGTAATTTCCTAATCAGCAACTGTCGCGAATAATTATGGTAATCATTACAATAATCACTTCGGTAATTACGAATAATAATAAACAACGAAATTAAGAATTGAGGAGTTTTGAAGAATAATTAACCACCGAGAATCGGTTAATTAATCACGTAAGAAAAAGATCATGAATCTTCAGTTAAGACGAGTACTAATAAAATTATCGATTATCCTTTCCGACTCCAGTAACAATATGCAGAATAATAATACTGTCAAATTATTTCTACAATTATTCCTAAAAATTGGAGAAAAAACAATTGTAAAATAAATGTAAAATAATAATTGCAGAATAATGTAGAATTCTTTCTAAAAATGCCCGCAATTAACCGGCCAGCTGTTCTTAGTCGCCGGTGTTCCTGCTCTTCCTGGACTGCGTCTTTCAACTAACCCACACCCACCCGGCGGCCTTCGCCTTCACCGACGCCTACCTCGTCACGCTGTACGACACAGCGCTCCTCGGCGTCTTCCGCAACTTCACCTTGAACTGCCAGCGCGATGCCCTTGGTAAAAAAGCGGAAAAACGACCCGTAGGGTTGAAATGATTCGAATGCAACGAATTAATATTCACTAATCAATAATAAAAATTACCCAGCAGTAGTAAATCAACCGTCGCGGCGCGGTACGACTTTTGAAATTATTTATATAAGTTTTTCTACGTGCGATTTTCTAGAAAAATTTTCTTGTATATTTTTCTTATATTCTTTTATACCGAAAGTTGACAGATTATTTATTTATTTTTATTTAATTAACCAGTATTTATTAGTGACTAAATCAACCAGTATTTATAAAAAATAAATAATATAAGTATTTATAAGATGCTGATATTTACTAATGTTACGCTTATTCCGTTTTATTTTCTTAGAATGAACATTACGAATTTTACAATAATTGTTCGCAGTTTTCTATCGATGATATTTTCTAGAAATATTTTTTTATATTTTCTAAAAACTATTTTTGGAAACCACAAGTTAGTAGATTATTTATTTATTTTTGATTAATAAACCAGTATTTATTAGTGACAAAATCAAACAGTATTTATAAAAATAGATAATAATAATATTTTTAAGATGTTGATATTTGCCAATGTTTCAGTTATTTTTAGTAATTTATGGCGCATATTGTTGTATTACATTTTATTAATTTTTATTAAAATGAATTCTTAATAAATATATTTTATTTGATTAAAAGGAATTCATAATAAATAATTTAATTAGCTAACAATTTTTGCAGTTAATTGAGTTAAAATCAGAGTAAATTCTTCCTTTCCAACCGTTTTTATCATAACGACAGGCAAACCGACGGCCCCCGCCTTCACGGAGCTGCCGCGCGACTCCGCCTGGGACACGGCCGCCCTGCAGCCCCCGTCGGGGTCCCGGGCGGTCAACGGGCTGTACCGCGCGCAGAATATCGTCGCCGCGGTGCCCCTGGAGGCGCGGGTCAAGGGGCGGTTCGCCCCCGAGGAGGTGCTGGTGCCGGCGATGGGCGTGGCCTATTTGAAAGTGTGGCGGAGATTATATTTGCGCTTCGTCCCGCCGCTGGCCGGGGGCGGCGGGGAGGGCGAGGCGGAGCGGGAGCAGCGGGTCAAGACGGTGTGTGAGGCGTTGGAGAGGGTGTGGAAGGAGATACAGTTGGGCGAGGGACAGGCCGAGGAGGAGAAGACGCCGTCACGACGCGGTAGAATTTTTTGGCATTTTCTGACAGAGTTTTTTCTTTTTTTTAGCCGATTTTTATTAGTCTTCTAACTAATGTTTTTAACGTTTTTTTAACCGCTTTTTTAATTAATCTTTTACCTTTCTTTAAAATTTTTTTAGCCGTAATTTAAATGTTTTAACCGATTTTTTTTCAAATTTTTTTAACTAATTTTTTTAAGTTTTCAACTGGTTTTTTTCATGTTTGTGTTGGTTGTTTCATTTTTTAACTGTCTGTAAATATAAACATATTAACTTTTGAACGAAAATTTTATTTTCTGTTGAACAGACTTCATTTTTGGAATTTTTTCGTATTCATTAACGAAGACGGCAGACACATTTTTTTCGTGAAATTATCGTGTGATTACGCGTTAAATAATTTCATGTTTTTCTAAATAATAATATCAGAATGCTTCTTTATTGATTGATTCAGTTGTGTTTTCCGCTGGATAGATTTTTCATTACTGTTTTTAACTAAACACACTACAGAATTTGTTTCCTGACGAAATCTTCTGTGTCCTCGTTCATTTATTTAATTGGTTTAGAAAGAGTATTCAATTATAGTTATTTTTTAACTGATTTTGAAGACAGTTACTTCGTATTCGTAATTACAGTAATTTGTTGTATTTTATTCCGTTAAAGATTTTATCTAATTCTTCTATATATTTTCTGTATTTTTATATTTTATTTTAATTGTTTATTTTGTTTAATTAAGGAATTTTTTCATTTAATTCTTTTATGTAATTTTTATTTTTATTTTTTTATATTTTTTATCTTCTGTTTTAGTTTTTTTTATTTTTTAATGAGAGAATTTTATTTAATTCTTTAACGTATTTGGAAGATAATTTCTCTTACATCATTAATGGGGCATGGACTTCCGGTGCCACTTCCGGTGGCGGTTTATTACGCGTTTTTTTATGCAGTCTTTATTCTTTTATTTTATTTATTTTTCTTTTTTTTGTTTATTTTAATTTATTTTTATTCTTTTATTTTATTTGATTAAAGAATTATTTTTAAATTTTCTAACGTATTTGGAAAAGCATTTGTATTACGTAATTAATTTGGCATGGACTTCCGGTGCCACTTCCGGTGCAGATTTATCACCCGTTTTTTAAAGCAATTTTTACTAGTATTTTGGAAATATTTGCATTTTTTGGGTGTTTGGCTCAGGGAGCAGCGCCAGCGTGGCCAAGTCACGGCCCCCGCCGGCGGACGCCCCGGCGACGGGCAGCAGCGACAGCCCGGTGGTGCGCCGGCACCGGCACGATTCGGGCGCCTCGCTGCTGTCCAGCGCGTCCTTCTCCACGGCGGACGCGCGCCGCCGATCTCAGCTGATGCGCCCCATCACCGGCGCGGCCGCCTCCGGGCCCGGCTCGCATTCCATCCTCACCTTCCAGAAGTGAGGCGGTCACGTTCCCTTTTAATTGGATTAGTTTTTGGTTTTTAATCCTGGTCGGTTGGTATTTTTTTGTTGCGGTTGTCTGTTGCAGCTGTGGAGTTTTTAATTCGTTTTTGATTTAAGCTTTTTATCGTTAATTACAGTGAGTGGTTTTATCCCGATGTGCTGTTCTGTGTGGGAGAAAATCCAGCGTGACAATTAAAAAAAATTACTCATAGTATTAAAATGGACGCCGTGAATATCAGAATTATTCATTAAAAACTAAAATAATCCGATTCAAAACGATCAAAACGATTATTCCGATTTAATCCGATTTAAAAACTAAAATAATCCGATTCAATTTTACATCGAATTTTTTATTTTTTTTAAAATTTTTTTTAGCTTGATTTTAATGTGTTTCTCAATTTTTAGAATTCACGATGTACGCTTTTTTATTCGGCAGTCAGAGCGTTGCAACCGGGACAGATAACTGCGCTTTTAAATTAAATCTGAATTTTATTTAAATTTTTGACCTTGTTTTTTCTGAGCAGAAATACGAATAATTTAAATTTTTAAAACTAGATTTAGATTGGGTTAAATTAAATATTATGCTGATGCCGGCAAAATCGATCTGCATTTTCAGTACTGCTTTCTACTCGGAGCGAGTGACATGTTGAATATTTTCTATATTTTTTTTACCCGATTTTTGTATTTTTCCACACACACAGAAAACATTTTTTAATTCACACTCTTTTAGCCATCGACAATTTGCGCAGCTGCTGTTGTTACATAAATCTGCGCTGCCGTGATTCGATTTCACAGTTTGCAAGGCAACGCAGTCCATGTCAACACATAACCAGTAGAAAAACTGACAACATTAGCCGTACTCGAAGGATGGTGAAAATGTTGCACGTGTACGATACTTAAAATACTGAGATACGGATTATCTCATAGAATTATAGAAAACACACGCTACGCTTTTTTATGCCTAATTGTAAGGTGTCCAGAATACTTTTCATTTTTTCCATGAATTTTTATTGAGTGTACACCACGGATTGTGCGAGTATAATTATCATGGAAAAATCGAAAACGGCCGGTAAATCGTTGGGTTCGAGTAAGAAACCCAAACCGACGGAGACCAACACAGCCCGCAGCAGCGCCGATTCGGGGCGCGACCTTTTACCCCCCGAGGCACCCGTCCCGCCTCCTCCTCCAGTCGACCGTGTGACTCCTCCTCCGGGAGCACCCAGTACCCTACCGGAACGCAAGACCCCGGTGAAACTCCCCCGGAATCTCCATGTCCAGTTCGACGAGCAGGCGACGCGCATTCCCGTTCCCTGGGAAGATCCTGTACTATCCCTTGTGGAGGAGGTCGCGGAGGTGAAGGCTCTTCCGGAGCGGCGAGCTCTTCCCACGGCGGAGCGGCCGGCGGCGATAATCAGGCCCAAGTACCCCTTCCGTCATGCCGAGATGGCGGCGCAGCGCCGCGCGGCGTACCAACAGCACGCGGCAGATTTCGCGCTGTCGGAGGAGGTTTTCAATGCCACGCCCAGTCGGGAGAGTATCGTGTTCGAGGCGGAGGGGAATCAAGCGGCGAATAGTGCGCAATTCGGTCAGTTATGTTTTCAAAGAGTTTTCTTAGGACTGTTCACGATTTATTCAGCAACTTTACGTTTTCGACAGATTTTTACAGAATGCAATTTAGCTAATGCATTGCCGAATGGTGACCTTTAAGCCTATTAAATATTTTCCCGTATTTAAGGGTAAAAAAGGCACAGTTTTCGTCAACTTTCTCTGGTATTTTTTAACTTTTATGTAAGAAACATTTGACTTTTTAAATGCAGTAAAAATGTATCGGTGACCTTTCGTTCCCAATGCGTTCCTTTCGTTCGTCTTAACTGATTATGTTTTGAATCTTACAGAAGCCGCTTTTTTAAACGAATTTTCAAGCATTCGCACCGTTTTGAGATGCGATTTTTTATGATTAACGGTGACCTTTACATCCATCTTGCAGCTGATTAAATTTGGGTTTACAAAAAATCTTAAACATTTTTTACACTTTCACTGTTATTTTCGGAACCATTTTGAAGAAAAACGTTCAGATTTGAACATGAACGGCTGTTCTGAATAACGGCAGCTGGTGACCTTTTCCGATGTCTTGCGATTGATACTTTTTTGTCAGTTGCAGAAGAAAGCAGCAACGAGATTCTGGAAACCGACGCCGACGGTGACCTTTACCCACCCAGCCCCGCTCACCGCCCGCCGGGCAACGCCATCGAACAGCGTCCAGATTTCGCGATCTTCAGCCAGAATTTCGGCGAAGACCCCGACGACCAACCACCCCCGTCGATTTTCCAAACGACCATCGCGAAAAAGAAAGCCCAAGTGCAGAACGATCCCAACCAGAAGCTCCTCCTCCCGCCGCTCCCGGACCCCGTAGTCCCTCCACCGGTGACCTTTGCTAAAGAGGTCCCCGTGCCGAAAATCCCGGAACCGAAAGCCGGCTCCAGTTTAAAGATCACCACGACCCCGGAGCCGAAACCCAATCAAAAGAGCGCACAGCCCAAAGCGACGACAGTGAAAACCAAAGCCCCGCCCAATGCGCCGTCCAACGCCCGCATGTCGCACAAGAAAGACGCGCCACTGAATCTTACCATGGAGACGCCGGTTCCCGTGGCGGAGGTCCCGGCGACCGTCGAGAAAGCGGAGATCCAGGAACCGAAAGCGGAGGTTCCCGTTCCCAAAAAGTTCCCACCGTGGGAACGGATCTTCGACTTCCGGGCGGAGGACTACCGGCTCCCGGTGGCGGTCGCCGGGAGCGGGTACGATGGGGTTCCGGGACCCGTGGGCATGAGGTACGCGGTTGAACATTTTTTTTTGGTTTTCTTATGATCTTATCGATGTCCCGCAAATACGCTTTTAAAATTTTCTGATGTTCTCTTATGTTTCCTTATATTTTCTTATGTTTTCTTATGCTTTCTTATGTTTCCTCAAGTTTTCTTATGTTTTCTTATGATTTCTTATGTTTTCCTATGCTTTCTCCTTGCTTTCTTGTGTTTTCGTGAGTTTTCTTGTTTTCTTATACATCCTTGTGTTGCCTTATGTTTTCTCATGTTTTCTTATGTTTTCTTATGATTTCTTATGCTTTCTTATGCTTTCTCCTTGCTTTCTTGTGTTTTCGTGAGTTTTATTATGTTTTCTTCTCGATATTCGGAAATTGCGCCGATCAATGTGTCTGTAGAACCCAGTTTGTAGAAGAGCTGACCAGCCATCGCTTCTTCCGCCGGTTCTTCGACGAGCTGGTTGAGAAATGGACGCTGCACACGCTAGGTCCCGGTGGAGCGATGACCCGTGAGGAATTCGGGGAGAAATTGAAGAACCACCCGGAGACGACGGTGGCGGATCTGGTGGCGTTGTTGAAGAATGCTGTGCGGAATAAGGAAGTTCCCCCGCCGGCGACGTTGTTTGCCGGGTACGGAGAACGGATCGTTCGAGAGCTGCGGGAAGCATACGCGGTAAAGGTCACAAATGAGCTTTGTCTACAGTCCGCTCTCCATTTTTTGCAAATTGAAAATTTTGAATTTATTTTGTTTTGAATTTATTTATTCATCATTTTTAAATATTAATATCAAGTTTGTTTACTTTTAAATGAGGTTTCTTTGTACAATTTCAACAGTTTCTGATACTTATGATTCTTTTAATGAACAATGTCTGGAAACAATTTGTTGTGGTGATCGCTAGTAGTACTATGTATTTACTGATTATTTTTCTTCCGATTTTCTTAATTTTTTGCATTGGTTTTTTAACCTTTATTTCCTTGGAGCTAACAGTTAAACTAAATTTCTAGATTAATTTCCCGAAATATGACCGTGGAACGGCACACATATTTGACCCGGCGGCCGAACTTCCTTTCGAGCCATGCAATAATTTAGCCCCTCCGCCGTCTTTCTTGCCGAAACCAGACTCGCCCAAACACACCACTTCAGCTAAACGGACAGGAAAGACCGTCCTCGATCCGACGGTGAAAATAATTCGCCGGCTCTCGCATTCCTGCTGGCCGGAAGAGCTCTTCCCAAAAACCATCACCAAAAACCCGCAGCGGCCGCGCTACTTATCCCCAACGGCCGCGTGGACTACGCACATCGCCGCGCAAAAGGAAACCCAGCGTTCCATCCGCTTGCGAAAGAAGCGCCCCAAAACCCGCGATTTCGTCACGTTCTTCAGCCGCAACCCGGTGAAACCCCGCCCCAGTTTCCTCCAAATATTCACCGCAGCGCACCACCGTGCGATTATCCGAACGGCTCGAAAATCCACTCGGATCAGCGAGATCCGTTTCAACCGGCAACCACGAACCCGGTCGTGCCGCAAACTCCAAACACCGTTCGCCGCCGAACCGTTCATCGATCATCGGGACGATTCCTGCGTCCCGGGGGTCCTCAGCCCGAAGAACCCGGTGTGGAAGCATCTCCGCGATGAAGCCCTGCAGTTCTACACCGCGGCGGCCCATCCCAAGGACCGCATGGTGGAAACCAGGTCGGAGCCGAAGGTCAACCAGTCTGAAGAGAAAATCGTGGCGCCGGTGGAAATTGCGTTGGAACCTAGTGTAACGGTTCCTTCTAGCGTTAATCTGTACACCCCGGGTGGGTCCACCGGGGATAACGTGTTCTCCATCGCCGTCCCGGAGAAACGGACGAAACGCGCCGGTTCGGTCGGGAAACGGTCTCCGGAGACCGGGGTTAAGACGAACCCGGTGGTTCGTTCCGGTGTGTCTGGGTACTTCAAACAGGAACAGGGGAAATCTCGGTCTAACTCGAAATACAAGTTGGCGAACCTACCGAAAGATTTCCGCTGGTCGCTGCTGAAAACCAATGTGGGGATTGACAAACTGTCGGAGGACACGGAAGAAACTTTCGAAGACCTTCCAGACGAGAAAATATCGTTTCACGAAGACCGAAAATCGTCCGATAACGAAACTGCGTTGACCGAAAGTTCCGCTACGAAATCGAATCATTCGGTTAACGAAATCATGGAGGTCGCGAAGGTCTCCGCAACCAAGAGCTCCGAAAAGAACGACGAGCCGATTCTCAAAGGAAAACCGAGTATTAAGCAGACGATCGCGAGGAACCCGAAACCGAAGACCAAACGCCGCTGTTATTCGCTCCGGAACTTCGTTCAACCAGACGCCAAGAACCCGGTGCATCCTCGACTTCAACGTTCCCTGATCTTGTGCCAAATCGCCCGGTCCGCAGCGACGAACCTCGGTCTCCCGAGGAAACACACCGGATGCGGCGACACCAGCGCCACCAACGTTCCAAAACACTCAGTTTTGAATCAGAACTTCTGGAAACAGAAATCGCCGTTCGTCGCGGTTCTTCATCCGAAAATTCCGGCAACTCCGCTGAAAAGCTTCCGACCTTATCTGGAGCAAATGGAACGTGACCCGGAAATGCAGTTGATGGAGAACTTTTCGGTGGTCGACGGCAGCGCGTTAACAGTGACGCCGAAAACGCTTAACGAAGTGGAAAACGAGATACGCTTTAATAAAGCGTCCAGTTTCTTCCCGAACGATTTAGTTGAGCGGTGTTTAAAGCAGTTGAATATTCGACCATACGCTAAGAAAAGCTGCGTTAATCGTGGACCAATCAACGACCTTCTTTACTGCGACAACAAGTCCCTCGGTTTGTATTTCTACACCAACCAGGAAAAACGCTTACGAAACGCGCGACATTTAATTCGCCGCTACACCGGTGAATACCGCTACAACCATCTTCAGCGAACCCATCTAAAGAAGCAGTTTCATGATGCAACGCACGACGACAAGGTTCCCGCACCGGTCGAACCGAAACCGGAACCAGCGCCGCGAAAAACCTCGGTGAAACGTGAGCGCTCACTGGACCGCTCCTTAGGCACGACGGAGACAGAGGAATCCGTCAAATCCAAGAAGAAACCGGAGAAAAAGGACCGAATTAAGACGGCGGCCGGGGAACCCGGGAAGGACCGTCGCGTCCCCACGGAGCTGAGCAGCAAACCCACCGAGGTGCAGTCGATCGGGTTCGTCTCCGGGAAGACCGCGGCGACCGACGGGGAACGAACCGAAAAAGTGATGAATCTTACGACAGCGCGGAAGAACTTAATCGCGCTGCCCATCGGCGACGAACCTCCCCCGTGGTGGAAATTAAGCGAACACGACTATCAGAATAAAAACCAGGAAGTGAAAAACCAGGAGATTTGGAAGAGCGTCAAGTCCCGGTTGTTTGCGGCGATGGAACAGGAAAATGATTTTGGGGAGGCGTTGGAGAATTTCGGGTTTGCGAAACCGGGCGAACAAGGCGAAGCGAGTACAGTGAGAGTCTCGTGTTTGAGTGAACGTCGGGATGTCGGTGAAGCGAAGGATGATTATAGTTCGCAGCTGGAGTTCTTGAAGCGCCGGTTGGAGTATTACGACAGCGCGGTCCGGTATTTGCGTAGTATGCTACCGGCATCGGATGACGAAGTTATTAACGCTAAATTAAAACAGCTGAATTTGCTGCCCGATGCGTCAATGTCAGGTAAATTCCAGTTGACCATTATTTGACTAAACATTTGTGCAACCGATTGGAAATTAAAAATTCGTTATTTAGCGCAGTTTTCTGGGTTAAATTTTGACCTTTACATTTAATCGAATTTTATTAAATAAATATTTTAACCAATTAAACTGAATTATTTAATATGATGCAGTATTTCGTATTATGTAATTTCATTAAATTTTTCTTTCTCAAATTAAATTTATTTGCGTATTTTTAAATTTAATTAGTTTTATAATAAAAATGTTTAATCGAAATAAATTTAATGAAAATAATTTTTCATCGAAATAAATTTAATAAAAATAATTTCTCATCGAAATAAATTTATTAGACATAATTTTTCATTTATTTCAATATTAATTTGATTCGATTTTGTTCGGTTTGCAGTACACAAACTGGATGCAGAAGATGTTGACGACGATCTGGAGTATCTTGCCGAAACGATCGACACCCTGTCGCTTCAAGCATCCATCACCGATCCCCACACCGCAGACTCCTTACGCACCCATCTCTTCCTCAAAATCCTGCGTCTCCGTCTCATCGCTGGCCATTTAAAACGCCAGTTCTTGCAGACACTCGACCAAAAACTAAACGAAGAAAACCATCAACGCCTGTGCCGCATCGCGGATACTTTAACCAACACCCAACCAGCTCCACCGGGGTTCGTGGTATCCCAAGCGGAGAAACGGTTTATCGCATCGCCACCGGCCAGTCCCGTGCGGCATCTGAGTCCGCTGCGTCCTCGCCAGGAATCCGTGACGGTAGCAGCTGCGGAAGATAGCGACAGCGGGAAGAAGACACGCAATGAAAAGGAGAAGGGCAAAGGGAAGAAGAAGGAGGAGAAGAAACCGCCGACCAGTAAAGGGAAGAAAGAATCGGCTGTGCAGCTGCAGAGCAGCCGGGTGGATTTGGGCAGCCCCAAGAAGAAGCCGGCGAAAGCGTAAAAAACCTGGTTTTCTGGTTGCGGTTGTATCTGCTTGTATGCTGCTTATCACGGTTATTATCTTTTTCTTGAGTTTATTGGCTTGTTTCCTACGACAGGCATTAATACACTTTATGCACGATAAAGTTTTGCGTTTACTTCCTGTTAACCATGTGCGTTAAATTTATATTTGCTGGTTTGTGTCAAAAACAGCAGTTAATACGCTGTATGGCCTTTGCGGCAATTATACGCTTTATTCACGGATCTATAATGCATTTAATAACCGTTTTTTTCCATTTACTGGGTTGGTTCTAAAAAAGACAAACTACTAGTACGCTTTATGACCTTTATCCACAGTACTATAATGCGCTTATATTGAGTATTGGCTTTATCTCTTCTGTTTGCTATCTTGTGTTTAAACCAGGCATTAGTACGCTTTATGACCTTTATCCACGTTATACTTTAATACGTTTAATAAAACATTAGAAATGTTTTTATTGCGTCGTTTTCGAAGCGAAGCGAAGCGCAAACGCTAAAATAATAACTTTCAACCAAGACTCAGTGTTGGCGCTGATAAAAAATTTGCCTTTATTAAATTAATGATTTTGTGGATGTGCTATCTTGTTTCTGAATGCTTCACGCACTAATACGCTTCTTGACCTTTCGCCAACAAACAGTGTTGCCTTTAATAAATGAGCGTTTGCCCACAAGCGTTAAACATCTGACAACATTCGTAACGCGAAAACCAGCCTCGAATACGAAACAAAATAACATCATTCTGGAAAATCGCAAGATCACGCCAATAAAAATTAGACAGCCAAATCTTACTGAGGTCGGCAATGTGCATTACAGAACAGCGTATTAGAGAACGAGAAAAATCACATTCATCAGCATCATTGCACCAAGAAAACCTGGACAAGTCGCCCCGCCCGCCACATAAATCCAGCGGTTCAGGCAATTCCGTAAACAAGGCAGTGCGGATACAGGTAATACTCCGAATTAAAGTAGGGCGTCCCGCGCGTATCATGGCACGACTCCTTTTCCATTTCGACAATCCTGTGACACTGATTCTTGGAGGCCCCGTCCCAGCAGTCAATGCAATACGGTGATTCGCACTGTCCTACGCGCGCTGAATACTTCCCGGCCACGCTGCTCAGTGCCACACAAACCAGGAAAATAACAAGCGTTGCGTGCTGCATGGAATATGTTTAACACGACACAAAAATTGAATATGCGTTAATTTACTGGAATACGTACAGTGAAGATTCAGAAAACTTTCTAGACGAAAAGAAAATCTAATTACAGTAATTAAATTAAATTTGCTGCCTAACGAAGCGTTTGTTGCTACGGTAGTCTTCGACTCTTCGTTAAAGGCAAGAGAGGAAATGCTGTTCGTATTAAATATTCACGTAACTGCGTTGCGGAGAGCGGCTGGTTGTGTCCAGTACAAACAAAGCCAAGCGAAAGCAGAAACCGGTATAAATGTTACAGCCCTGGCAATCAGCTGAGCAAACAGTACATATCCCACGCTGAATAAACACCGTATTACGCACACCCAGGTTTCCGCGATATGTTGACACTGACAGTGTTGACACACGATCCCTGCGCACACCGACCGCATGCGAATGCGTTCATCGAACGGTTATTACTCATTTTCACCCTACATCATGGCGCGCATCGCCACAACCCACCACGAACCCACCTCACGGTTCTTATGCCAGTCGTTTCTCCGTCTCTTCCCGCACAAACCCCCGGGGCAGCGAATCCGGCCCTTTCCGCCAATTTCCCAGTACGCCGGTTACGTGTTAACCCTCTTATTCTTCGTCGCTTCATTCTTGGATGTCGTGGACCTCGCGCTCTCTTACCAGAACGGCCGCGATCCGGCGTACCAGAAGGTCAACGTCCTCGTGGTGATGATCGGGTACTCCACCAGTACCATCGCGTTCCTCCACGCCGGGTTGTCAGGATTATACACCGCGGTGAGTGTCGACCGCATTGAACGGTGTCTCTCGGTGGCGCGGAGTACCATGAAGAGCCTGGGGGTCCGCCAGGAACCCCACCGCGTCCGTTGGACGGTGGCCGGGCTAGTCGCAGCCACCTGCATCCTGCCGGCGGTCTTCGTGGTCCTGGACCGGAACTTTACACTGATCATGACGGTGAACTACGCGTTCTGGACGATGGTCCGCTGGAAGTTCATCATCCACGTGTACACCAGCCTTTCCATCGCCCGGATCGTCAGTATCCACTTAATTCTCCTCCAGTACGATCTGTGCAGTGTTGTTCATCGCTGCAGTCAGGTTCTCGTCGCCAGCGTGCGGGTGCTCAACAACCAGACACCGGCGAAACCGGAGAAGTATGTACAGCAGTTGAAGGAGCTGAGATATCAGCATAAACTCGTGGCGGAGCTGGTGCGGACGGTGCAGGCGACGTTCGGGGGGAAGCTGGTGATGGATGTGTTGGTGGGGTTGATGGAGGTGTTGGTGGCGGTGTGCTGGTATTGTATGTGGATGGCTATACCAACAGCAGGGAATCGGTATAAAGCCACGCGGATCGCCATGACGTTGTTAGCGGGGTTGTTGCAGTTGGGGCTGGTAATGAGCCAGGCGGTGAAGCTCAGCCAGACGGTAAGTATCTTGATTTTCGGATTAGGAACGCTTTTGCTGCATACTACGTATGTCTTCGTATGATGCAAAATCTTAAGACGAAAGCGCTTGACATGGCTCTTCTGGTTTTCCTAAATTATCGTGCCTGCTTTGCAGGGAGAAGAATTTGAAGGTCTGTTACAGCAGCTGGGACAGAATCGTTGTCAGCAAATAGCCCATGAGGTACAGTACCGTAAGATTTTCAGAAAACTAGGTGGAATATAATATGACGAATACCGAATTTACTAAATCATGAAGCGTCATAATTCGTATTAATTCCTGATAATTTTGACATACGCTTGTCCAGCATGATTTATCGACGGAGGAAGCCGATTTATACCAGGCTTTCATGATGAATGTCGAGCAGCACAAACTGCAGTTGACGGCCGGATATTTAATGGAACTCGATCGACGGTCCGTGTTTTCGGTATGTCGTCTTCTTAAGATAGTAATTAGCAGCTCAGCCAATACTATGTAGTTTTACGCTTTCTGCTTGACAGATGATAGTGTCGATGGCGGGATTCCTCTGCTTTGTCATCGAACGGGTGGACCGCGCGATGGTCGACTATCGAACCTGATACCGTTATTAAAATTATTTGTTTCTTACCGCAAAGGTCACCGTCCCTGGAACTTGAAATAAATAACCAACTCACAACTGTGAATGCTGAGTTTTTTGTTTTGGTGTGAAAAGGAGAAATCATACGGTGTTCTTCTGTACTGGCGTTTTGAATGTGTTGTGACATATCAGCTCAATGGAAAAAATGTATTAGCAAGAAACAATTTAAATGCAGTTTACATAAACCGTATTTTTAATGTTCTCTATGGAAACATCCACTGAAACGTGACGAAAAAACAAGATTAGCATTGAAAACCCAGCTTAGGTTTCTAGCTTAGCTGGAAATCCGTTAATTTTGCGTGTGTTGATCTAAAACTTGAATTCTTGACGAATCCTATGAAGAAACGGTTTGGCATCTTGAGCTTAAAATGTCATCGAACTACAGCGCCAATCAGGTAGAAGAATCGAAATGTTGACCATTGAAAAGCTGACGAAGTTAAATCTGATTATTCCAGTAATAAAATCCAGTAACAATGACGAAAATAATTCTGATTTAAAGATTAATGGATTATTCTGGTTATTCCAGTATGACGGAGCATACAAGCCGTCCACCATGCGCAACTGGCAGACAGGATGGGCGCAGCTGCGAGCGGACGCCACTGCAAAGGTGCTGGACACTGCCTCCCTTCTGTAATTTTTTCTTTAAATCGTAAACACGAAATTCCGCGATAAAATTAATCATTTTCTTGTTCATATTTGTTATTCACATTACAGCGCCCCAATTTCCAAACCGGAGTAACAATTCCCTTCTGCGATCTGAACGGTCGCTTCGTCGACACTAAATATCGCGGTCCCACAGCGACGGCATATCCCAGGTGTGCGCGATTTCTCCGTTGCGTCAAGGTAAACAAAAAGCCAATTTTATTTACTAATGTTGCAATACAGCTTCGTCAGTACGTGGAACCTCCCGCGTCGGTTAGACGTCCATCCCAACATGCTGAATGCCACAGCGCGCAAGGATGGCGCAGCTGCGGAACTGAAGACGGCCTACCAACAGGGAATGCAGGCGTTGCATCCCTCGCTGGCCGAGCGGATGCGGCAGAACACGCAGATCGTGCAACGAACCGGGAAGAAAGCGTAGACGCTCTCCAGCCAGTTTATTCGTCAATATATTATTTACGCACAATATTTTAGAAACAAATTACTTCTCATACCGTGGCGCTTTAAGGCCACGGTACGGATACAACCTGCTTATTGTAATTAAAGTCTGGCTGACAATTTATTCAGAATTTGAAGCAGACACTATAGCTATGCAGACACTATAGCAGACACGCTATGCAGACACTATAGCGCACCGAATGTTTCCGAGTCATTGAAATTGCTGCTTTGATGGCTCGATACTGAAAAGACGTACAGTCGATACTGAAAAGACATACGCACCTAATGTAATATCTAACAATATTACACTTACCAAAATGCATTTCGCTCGTTGAAATGCTGAGTTGCTGTTTAACGAAGATCCGAAGTTTGTAATGTACAGAGTACTGTAATGTGGGTTACGAAGCCCACATACACTAAATTAAACGTTATTTGTGAAGAGTTCTTCATCGCCGCATGATTGACGATACAACGTTCAACAAAAGTACTTACAAAAAAGTACAGATAGAACACACGATAATGTACAGAGTAGGATCAACAGATCCTTCCTTCGACATTAAGTAAACAGCAGTACAAGTACGGTTTGCAAGGATGATGCTTTATTAAACGAAATTAGTGGCTGTTTTGTTCAAACGCTTGAAGATTACGGTTCTAAGCAGTGCGGTTGAGTCGTCCGGCTGCGATCAGTAGACCTTGATCGATGGTTTCCTGTGAGCTTTCCATGCGGTCAATCGCGAAGACGAGGAACCCGATTAGGAAATAACCGAGCTGAAAATGTCATTTCTGCTTTATACATAAAATACAGCTAAAAAACCGGAAAGCTTGTTTTGTGAAACGCAACAAACCATGAGCGCTGTGGCTGGTGTTAGATGCACCACACCGCCGCCCACCGAAATCGTCAGCTCCTTCCCGTGCGAACGTTCGGCCAGCGACTTCATCAGACTGTATTCCGTGAAGGATGGATTCTAGAAAGTTTAAAAGAAATTGAGTAGTTTAGCCGTTTCGTAAGATTTCAAGCCATTCTATTGCATCGTATGTAAACTGGGATAACTTACCGCGGACCGCGTCAGCTGCCGACGATACACCAGCGCTTCTACTGCATCGGCACACCGCACCTGCTGCAAAACCAGCACAAGCTAAGTCTATTAAATCTGAATTTTTTTATGGTTTTACACAAATTAACAGTTTATTTAGCGGATAAAATCCCTTTTATTTCGGGTTTAATTTAAGAACCAATAGAAATTTTGGTAAATCGATTTTTTTGAGTAACTGATTTAATTTTTTTACAGTTTATTCTGCGCGAAAATATTTCGCATTTCACTGCTTACCAGTTTCGTCAGCTGCATCGGCACTCGCATCGTCAAATAAAACTGCACCAACAGGAGCGGCGCACTCATCGCAAACTTCAAGATCTTCCGCACCGGCGACAACGCCGGGACGTACGCGTACAGCACGAACCACGACATCACCACCAACACCTCCAACATATCCCCGACAATACAGATAAACACCGGCCAACCGCACCCGGCTTCCATCGCCCGCACCCGCTTCACCAGTTCGTCATACCGTAAATGCAGGTTCTTCAAAATCTCCAGAAACTCCCCGCCGGACAGCTTCTCGTGGAGGGTGCCGGTGACACCGTTGACGTGGTGGAGAACGTCTTCGCCATGACCGGCGAGTGCCACGCAATCGTACGCGAAGCCGATTTCGGTGAAGATAATCACCAACACGGGGAAGGAGAGGATCCCCGCCGTGATGACGGTCTCCACGATGGGCGACAGCGGGAAGACGAAATACGGGTGCTGGGCCCTACTCGCTGTGGAGGTCGCCGGGACCAGACGTAAGACGAACAGTACCAAGGCTAGCAGCGCTCCGATAGTGACCTTTCGGTAGCGGGAGTCTTTCCAGTGGTTCCGCAGTCCGTTGAATGAGAAGCTGCGTGGAGCGTTGGAGTTAATGCAGAGGACCACGCAAATCGCGGAGCTGCGTAATAAGATTGTCTGGGTTTGCAGGAGACTCATGGCGGCCAGGACCGGGCTGGCGCCGATCAGTTCGGTGTTGAGGAAGGGCGAGGTGGTGTAGTTGGTCATATCGCCCAGATCCAGAATGGTCATCACCACCAACAGCCCCGTGAAAACGATCAGTAAAACCTGGCGCTTATTGCACAGCAGCATCTTGGTACGGAATAGGTTTTAACTTAGTACTACTGGAGAAAATTTAAGAAGTTTTTAAGGATGTAGTAAAAAGTTACACATGGAAATTTTCTATCAATAACTTATTTTACGGGCGAAAATTTTAGGCGGAGTTGTAATGGTGTCTGCTGGAAACAGCATGATAGCTCGTTGAAAGCATCGTGCCCAACATCACCGGCACGGCGTTATTCCCTGAAGACATTACACCTCACTGGACCCGCGCAACAGTCAACAATGACACCACGTCATTGGTGAAGAGCGTTGTGTGTGCGGTTATTTGTTAGTACTTGCTTGACACTAATCGGATGTGCGGGCACAAATAGCGGCTGCTTTCCTTTACTTACTCAAGCCCTAACCGATAGCATAATAATCGATCGAAGCGAAGCGAAGGTCCTCTATGTTCAAGAAAACTAAAATTTTGTCTGTCCGCCGGTCACGCACTAATTTGTCCGTCGGTCACAAAAAAATTATTAAATTAAAATAAAATAGATATAATTAAAAATTAAATATATTAAAAAAGTATGTGTCTATCGTATGAATTTGAGTGTTATATGAAATACTCAGTATAAGAAGAACAGCAATACGGCGCTTTTGTCTGTTTGTCGGTCTCGCACTAAACCACTGAATATCCAGAACGTAATATTTTGGGTATTATCATGAGTTTTTGTTATAGATACGTAAGGCAGTATTTCATAGAGTAAAAATCAGTAATAAGGTCACGTGAAGAATAATAATAAGGGTGAAGATTCAATAATAAGAAGTGTGAAGGTCACGTTTACTGGCATTACTGACTATACCAGTTCTTAAATTTCTCTTTAAAAAGAAAAAAAGGTATACAGGCTCGTTTACAGGTAACGTAAGGTATACAGGTAACGTCTACTGGCATTACTGACTATACCAGTTCTTAAATTTCTTTTTGAATAGAAAACAAGGTATACAGGCTCTGTACAAGCGAAAAACGGTAGGGTCAACAGGAGGTGAACAAAGAGGATCATTCTGGATCAAAGACAGGATCATTCTGCAGGTGTGATTGTGACTTCCGCCAGTCCAGACAAACGATGAAGTACAAAAATTCTCGAAGCTCGAAGTCACAACGAAAATGCCTAAAGGGAAGTGGCCCGATACATGGCACCAAATTCGTGTGCATGCACGAAAAATTTCACTTTCTTGCACTCCCAAACACTTCTTTGCTTTTGCTTTATGACATTGAAAATGCCGGTAGCAAAAATACGGGCGCAGCACAGTGGTGGCAGGCTGGCAGTGCGGCTAAAGGCAATTAAATTCTTATCACTAATTATCCCCGTAAATATCATGAATTATCCCCCCCCCACCTTTCTGTCCTGTCATCCTCATCCGTTTTAGTACTTAGTTCCTATACTTAGTTCGTACTTGTACTGCGATACCCGTAAATTGGTAATTAATTAACGTATACCATTTAATAGGAAGCGAAGAACAGGAAGTTGGTCTCGAACCGACACTGTGTTTGAATAGGGAAAGCAGGGTAACGCTTAAAGAAACATCTGGACTGATAAAGTCTTGTGGCGTTAGGATATGTGCGAGATATAATATTGTAGCCGTACAAATGAGATCTGTAGTGAAGATGTACATCTCATTGTTGCTAGTTCAACCGGAAACATCTGAATGTGTACTTGTACGAAATGACCAGTTCTAACGTGGATTTTCTAGACTTCTGAGATTGTCTGAATGTTCTAAGATCATTCTTGCTCTTGCCCTTGCCCTTGCTCTTCCCCAATGACTTTTCAGCTGATTAAAAATGTTTGTGCACTTTGACAATCGCGCCGGTATCGGTTCACCTGTTCGCAATTGCATAACTGATTTTTGGGTAATTCGCTAACTCGCAACATCACCGACGAACCATCAAACCTCGTTTTATCGTGGTACGGGTGGATTAACCCACTCCACTAGTGGCAGCTTAGAAGTTGCCGTTGCAATATTATGTAGTGTACGAACTCGGAGTACTTCTCCATCAGGCTCGATGCCCGACGTGGTAATGGCGGAATTCGATATACTTACCTAATTGTAAATAACTGTGTTCCGATACCTACAGTCACAACAAAATGGTTGGGCAAGTCCGAAAATTGCACAAGAACACAGTTCCCGCTCACATTAGCTAGGGAAATAACCTGGTTACACAAAGGTCAAGACATTACGTGTGATAAAGCGTTAGTCCACACTGGCAAGCGGGAAATCGCATCCGGTTTTATTAATGCTGGCTTTCGATGACATTACAAAGGTGGTGTCAGGGTGGTGAGAATAGCTATTTCCTAATATTTAATACAAATAAATACCTAATCAACATAAACATTATGTACTTGTCAACATTAATCGACATGGAAATAATAACATCAATGTCTTAATGCTTAAATTTTAACTGTGATGTAGTGTGCTAGCGCTTGCAATTTTTTTTATTTTGATTGGTATTGCGTATTAAAACCACATAACAATTACCCTAAGTATTTTTGTACAAATCTCAGTTTCCGGCTTCGCTTCGGTCTAATAGTGCTAGCCAAAAGCGGTGCCCTTCGCTAGTTATCATACATAAAGTCCACTCAGATCAGAGATTTTTGGCGCGAACTCAGTGAGTGTGATTGTATGCGCTCCATATTACCACTGAAAACTGATTTCGAATCTGAATTTATGAATGTCAATGCAGAGGGCCGCACCAGGCGCATTCTCTGTAAGACTCTACATGCCGGATATTCAGGCCACATATGACGGGCGTAGGACTGGCTCAATCCGTACCAAGATCATGCGTTGCGCGACAGCATCGGCGCAGCAATCATTCCAAGCCGCAACACGCAGCAACGGGCCGCAACAGTGCTGCCGTGCTCGGCTGGGCTATGCCAGTGCAACGCCGCAACAGGCGCAACACGGCCTATAAGCCGCAACACGCAGCAACGGGCCGCAACAGTGCTGCCGTGCTTGGCTGGGCTATGCCAGCGCAACGCCGCAACAGGCGCAACACGGCCTGTAAGCCGCAACACGAAGCAACGGGCCGCAACAGTG